GGAGAAACACTCCTTCCAACCTTACCCAGCACCCATACCTCTCTTGGGAGCTGATCCGAGCTTCACCACTCATACTAAGGGGTCGTCCATAGTCCCATGCCTCGCCTTCCCATTTGGCACAGTCACCGGCAAATGCTTGCCTTCACTACGCTACAATCTAGTGGCCCAACAAGAACTTCAAATGTCGGGGGTCCTCACCATCTTTCCTCCACACGCTGAACACTGCGACCTCATCGAGCCACTCACCAACAAGCTTCTGGCTCGTTTCACCCTCAACAGCAGCATCCTCCACACGTTGCGTTCACCTGCCCACATGTGTCCACCACCCAAGCACAGATTGCTGTCACACCATGCTCATGTCGTAGTCTCGCCAACTCGACCATCCTCTATCAGCATCGCCTTGGATACCCAAACTTTCGCAAGCTTGCTGACATGGCCTACAAGAAGCTTCTTCTCGGCCTACCAACCTCACTTCCTCCACTACCTGACTCCCCCTCTGACTCCACCACCTGCTCTTGATTGCACCAAGAGCAAGCTGCGGCAACAACCTCGCCCCACCTCACCCTCAGTTCAGCAGCCCCCATGGATCTAGTGCACATGCTCGCGAGGTGGTCATCACTACTTCCCCTCAACAGTTGATGGCCATTCTCGCGACGTCTCTGTGCACCTCCTCCACACCAAAGCTGAGGCTCCAAAGGTCATAGTGGCATGGGTCAAATAGGCGCATGTCATCTTTGGCGCCAAGGTCAAGTGCCTCCATTCGGAAGGTGGTGGTGATTTTTGCAACAGCAAGCATGAGGCCTTCTGTTCCTCTCTCTGCATTCAGCAAAACTTCACACTTCCTGACAGCCATAGCGAAATGGCATAGCAGAGAGCCGTAATCATGCGCTGGTGGAGATCGCTCACTGCCTCCTCAGCCACTCCCACACTCCACACTCACTTTGGGGGTATGCCCTCTTGTCAAACTATATCTGTGCTAGTTCTGTGTAGGCTATAGTGGGGTAGCCCATATGGGGTACAACCCAATGTTAGGGTTAGTACTTGTACCCACAATTCATTCAATGCAGTCATTCTAGCTTCTCATTCTAACATGGTTTCGGAGCAGTAGGTATGTAGGACCGTTTTTTTTCAGGCCCACCATTCCGACTGCGGTTACCGCGTTACCCCACTGCCCTACCCCCGCGCGCTACCCCGCTGGCTTCCTGTAGCCCCGCGCGCCGCCTGCCCCTGCCGCGGCTGCCTGCTACACCCCGCGCGCCACCCGTCGCGCTGCCCCACAGCCCCGTGCGCCGCCCGCCCTGCTGCCGCGGCCGCCCGCTACGCCCTGCGCGCAGCCCCCCCTGCTGCCCTGCCGGCAACCTGCAGCCTCGCGCGCCGCCTGCCACAGCCGCGGCCGCCCGCTACGCCCCGCGCGCCGCACGCTCTGCTGCCCTGCCGGCCGCTTGCAGCCCCGAGCGCCGCCTGCCAGAGCCGCGGCCGGCCCGCTACGCCCAGCGCGCCGCCCGCCCTGCTGCCCCGCCGACCGCCTGCTGCCCCGCGCGCCGCCTGCCACTGCTTCGGCCTCCCGCTAGGCCCTGCGCGCCGCCTGCCTACTAAGCCCGCGCGCTGCCTCTGCGCGTACCCCTATTGCGGCCGCCCGCTTCAGCCCAGCGCGCCGCCCCTGCTACTGCTGCTTGCATGCAATCGCTCTGCCCTGCCAGTCCCGCGCGAGCAGCTATAGCCACCCTCAGCGTTCTGTCGTTCGATACTGAGGGCCGCCCGATTCAGTTCGAGACCTGGCTCAATGACCTGCAGCTGTTCCTAATGAGCGATAGCTAGGACAATGTCTCTCTCTATGACCACACGTCTGGTGCCTCAGTCGCTCCTGCTGCCATAGCTGAGCTTAGTGCCCGTTCCCAGTGGCAGACTCGTGACGCTGCTGCTCGCCTAGCCGTTTGCAACCACCTACCGTTAGCCGAACTCACGCATTTTGGCGAACACAAAACTGCTAAGGCCATGTACGACGCCGTAGTTGCTCAATACTCCTCCCCTGCCACTGCTGCACTTAGCCGCCTCATGCTGCCCTACCTGTTTCCTGAGCTATCCACCTTTGCCACAGTTGCCGATCTTATCACCCACCTTCGCACTAGTGACACTCGCCTTCGCGCCGCCCTCCCCAAAGAGTTCTTAGCCAAGAACTCGCCTCCGATGTACTGGACCCTACACTTCATAGTGACCCGTCTCCCTGACTCTCCATGCTCGGTCAGGGACCACTTTCTCGCTCGCTGTCCCACCGATCTCACTGTCGACCTCCTAGAGGAGCAGCTTCTAGCCGCCGAGACTAGCATAGTCACCGTAGGTGCTGCTCGTGGTGCTCCTCGCACCCCCATCTTTGAGGGGTGCTCTCCCTCTCCCCTCGCCCCTTCCTACGCTACTGCCGCTGCTGTTGACTTCCTTGGTGCTGAGTCTGTTGGTGCTGCTTCTGCTCCTAGTGGGAGGCGCCGCAGCGGTAAGGGCAAGGGAGCCAAAAGTAGCGGAGGTGGCACCAGGGGGGGTGGTGGTGGAGGAGGTGGAGGAGGAGGAGGTGGCGGAGGGAGTGGTGGCGGGAGTGCTGGCGGGGGTGGTGGCGTCGGTGGCGGCGGTGGGAGTGGCGGTGGAGGCAGTGGCGGCGGAGGGGGTGGCGGCAGCGGTGGCGGCGGCGGTGGCGGTCGGGGTGGCGGTGGCGGCCGGGGCGGAGGCGCTGGCACTAGCCAGAGATAGCAGCAGCAACAGCAGCAGCGTCCCCGTGAGGCTCTTATGCCCCAGCAGCTTCGTGAGTGGCTTGCTCAGCGTGGGACGTCTGGGGGTAGTGGTCGCTGCCCGTATATCATTCGCGCAGGTGACCGCGCTGGTCAGACATGCGGGAAGTTCCACACCCAGCACCGCAGCTTCTCCCGCCTTGACGACGTCTGGCGTGAGGAGATGGGCGAGGAAGTCGAGTGCCCTTGCTGGCATGGGCTGCTTAGGGCTGGTGTAGACATCTTTGCTCTTGACTATGATGCTATCCTTGCTGCCATGTATGCATTGACTGTTGATGCTGAGGGAGACTGTTACTTGTGTGTGCCGCCTAACCCAGGTATAGAGGCTGCTGCCTTAGGTGCGAGCGAGTCTGCTCTCTCAGGTAGTGCGCCTGCTGAGGCCTTGAACACCTTCACGCTTGACTCAGGTGCTTCCCGCTGTTTCTTTCGTGATAGTACTGCACTCACACCACTCACTGCACCCGTTGCAGTCTCTCTGGGGGCCCAGTTCTTGCACGGTCCACCACTGTGCTCCCGTGCCCGGCGGTTCTGTCTGGCTCACTGTCAGGCCTCCACCTCCCCTCGTTCTCTACGAACTTGGTGAGCAACGCAGTTCTCCAGGACCAATGGGTTGACACCTTTACCCCTGGAGGACAGCGTGTGGCGATCTGTACGTGCTCCCGGACCGGCCGCCACCTGGCCACGTTTACCCGTCGGCCCGGGTCAAGTCTTTACATACTGACGACTGCGCCTCCTCAGGTAGCTGGCTACTGGTCAGGTGTTTGCGTCAGGTCAGGTAGCCTCCCCTTGTTCCTCTCGCTCCCTGTCGCACCAGACTCTTCTCTGGCACCACCGTCTGGGTCACCCCTCCTTGCCACGTCTACGTGGCATGCACCGTCGCCTCCTTGTGTCTGGTCTTCCCAGGTCTCTCCCTCCCCTCCCTGCCTCGCCTGCGCCGCCCTGCCTTCCTTGTGTCGAGGAATCCCTAAACCTAAACCCTAAACCTACTCAGTGCCACCCCCACTGCGAATCAGGGTTTTATGCCAGCGGTCACAAGCGACAATGCTTGTTTGTGTGGGTGTGGTACAGTTTGTCACCACGCGGAGTATGGCCCGATCTGCGGTAAAAAAGTTTCGGTATCAGGGTAGTGTACACCCTACCCTGATACCATCAGGCTTGCTAGAATGGCATAGTGCCAGCGTAGCGGAAACATGTTTGTAGAAACAACAAGATAGAAATCTTGCATTGATCATTGAAAGTTGAATGATGATGACACAATGATCACAGAATGATAATGAAGAAGTGACATAGCAAGGTATATATGCATCCAGCTACCCTTCCAGAATGACCCCATTCACACCAATAATGGTGTACCAATAATTAAACCCTCTACCCTCCAATAATGCTGGGCTCCAATAATTGTGGCCCTACAATATTTGTGACAATTATTGTAGGACCTGGAAGCTTATAACAAGGACTACACTAAAACCAAACAGCACACTGGTATACAGTATTCGTTATACTGTATTCGGATTTCCAACAAGGCTAACCATAAATCCTATCAGTGTAAAAAAAAACATGGTCTTTTTGCAAAAGGGTAACTATCGTGGAATCCTGATTTTGGCAGGGTAATCCTGAAAAAGCAGCCGGCCCCCAGGGTAATCAGGGCGTTTTACCCTGATATTTTGGGCTCTGCTCACTGAACATTAAAATGATGCACTCCACATGACCATTGCAGCATTTGCTTGCTCTGATCTGAGGCTGAACAAGGAGGAAGAAATCTATCGATGGAAGCCAACCACATTCATACACCCATTTTGACAAATAACAAGACGACCATACAATACATTATACAACACTAATCTGATTGCCAGGCACATAAGACCAAACATAATTACCGTAACAAAAGATTAAGCAAAATGTTGTCCTGCACTGCACTAGTGCTTTGTAGGCGCTTTTTTGGGCGTTTCAAACTTATCTCTCAACACGCGGGGGATGTCTGCAGTGATATTGTTGAGAGGGATGCTCAGATCAACCCAGTATATCCGCTTCACTCGTTCATACGTCTCCTGTAGGAGACCGAGGCAGGAGGCAGTGAAGGGGGGGATAAGGGAAAACAAGCAGCAACAGTGTGTGTCTATAAAAAAAATGAATCTGAAGATACACAAACTGCAGCTGTGGTGCACGATCAAGTAGCAAGGTGCAGAGCACGAGCAGGAGAGTAAGAGGAGGGTGGGAGTAGAGCTAAAGGAGAGCTTGCGAGTCGGAAAGTAGGAGAGTGGGAAGGTGTGTGGGAAGCATCACTTGGACTGGTGGAGTGGAGGCGGATAACGAGAAGAGATGCATGCTGACATTGCAGCACAGAAAGAGCCTTGAGGCACGTGAAGCATGCGGTACAAGTATCCAGAATACAGCAAGGGTAAACAAGACATAGGGACCCATGTGGGAGATACAGGGTCGATGCATAGAGGGATGGGGGCGTGGAACAAAAGAGAAGACGGACGAAGGAGGTGGAAGGAAGAGAGGAGGGCAAAAGGTGGAGGCAGAGGATGAAAGGCAGTGGCCTGGGTATGTGTGTTGAGTGGAATGCAAGTGGTCGGGATATGTGCTTTGAGTCGAATGGAAGTGGGTGGGGTATGTGCTTTGAGTCGAATGGAAGTGGTCGGGGCATGTGCTTTGAGTCAAATGGAAGTGGTCGGGGTGTGGTACCTTATCGTACAGCTCCAGCAGCTTGCTCGCTGCGTTGGTCACATGGAATTGCCCCACTCCCAGCTGCGCCTTGTTTCCTGCAGCACCAGCAGCGCCAGCTGCAGCACTCATGGCGAGAGCGAGAGTGGCAGGGTCGGCAGCAGCATCGGCGTCAGCGAGCGAGGCCGCAGAGGTAGGGGAGGAGAAGAGGTTGTAGGAGGGCAGGTCCCCCAGGCGGTGCAGCACGGCAGCGGCATCTCGCTCCAGGGACTCCAGGCGCCCCACAAAGTCGTACTTGATGTCATGTAACCCACACAGGCGCGCCTGCGGTCACTCGATTGGGCGCAGGGGGGAGAAAATGGGGGAGGGGGGTGACTGGGTTTTGTTAATTTGACTTGGAATTTACTGGTGACTTGTGAAGTGCCTCAAATCACAGAAGCGGCGTCACACTGCAAAGACTCCAGGCGCCCCACAAAGTCATACTTGATGTCGTGCAGCCCACACAGGCGCGCCTGCAGAGGGAGGGACAGCGGAGGTTAGGCATGCGTGTACAGGGAAGCGGAGGGGAAGAGGAGAGACTGGATTTCTCGTTGAGTTGACTTGGAAAAACTGGTGGTGAGCAAGTAGGCAAGAATGCAGGCAAGTGGGAAGGCAAGGGAGAAAGGTGCTTTCCATGCATGGTTTCAGGGACAGGGCATGTCCGTGGTGTGAAAAGATGCATAGTGAGGTATGGCTAGGTACGTGTGGCTATTGCGAGGAGGTGCGAGCTGTGCTGGGCTCGGCAGATTAAAGAATGAAAGGGAGGGCGTGTCACTCATTGTACACTCATGCAGCACAGCGTCAAAAAGGTTAAGCTGCGTCCAAGTGGATTAAGACGTGCACGAATTGTTGGGATCAGTAAGGAAGCAGTCATGGCGGTAGACATGGCAGCAGATATTCAAGTGTAATGCTCAACACACCAGAGAAGGCTTGCATGAATCGTTGGGGTCAGCAAGGTTGGGATCAGCAAGGCAGCAGCAGTCATGGCAGTGGGGTGCGACTACACCAGAGAAGGCTCTTTCACTGTGAAGGCTCTTTCACAGTGCCCCTTCCTCTCCCCCCAAATTCACCAGAAAGTGCTCGCCTGGCCTCACCTGCGGTGCAATGTGTGGTTCAAGCCAATCCTTGGGCACTCGTTCGATGAGGTAGACGAAGTCACGGAAGGACAGCAGGTGGGACACCGGGTTTGCCAGCTGCATTAGCAGCTTCGGCACCCGGCCGAATAAGAGCTGGGAAGTGGAAGAGGCAGGAGAGGGGGAGATGGGGATGGGGAGAGTAAGGAGGGTTAGGCCGAAGGGCAGTGCAGCAAAGACGCGGGAGAGGAAACCAGAATCACAGAAAATACGATCGGTTCACCGCGTTGACGTGCCTCGAGAGTTGTGTCGGTTCACAGGAAAAGAAAAAGAGAAAGAGGTACGAGCGAGCAAGAGAGCGTATGGTACGCGCGCCGACAGCATCCACCATGTTTTGAGAGGTCTCAACTCAAAGCACCCACCATGTTCCACTGCTGGCGCCCTTTGAGTATCCTCTCCTCGCTCCCACTCGCTCTCCGTCCCTTGCTCCCCACGCCCCCCGCCACGTGCTTATCCAAGTACGCCGACGCCACGCGCGCAAACGGGTCCCGCAGGAACACAAACCGGAACAGCCTTCTATCCGACAGCGCGCGCAGCGCTTCCGCCTCGTTGAAGGCAAACCAGAGCTCGGGCAGGCCGTTGGCACCAGGTGCGTGCGCCCAGTCGATGCTGGCGGGGTTGGGCAGGCGGTGGTAGGTGCGGAACCAGACCTTCCAGGAGGTGCATGCCACCTTGGGGATGAAACAGTACATGGCGCTCAGGCGCTCTGAGGGGGGAGCAGCAGGGGAAGGAGGGGAAAAAGGGGAAAGAGTGTGAACAAGAAGCTCGTGCAGGGGCCTTGGGGACGAAACAGTACATGGCGTTGAGGCGCTCTGGTAGTTGCCGGGGGGGACGGAGGGAGGGAGAGAGGATAGGAGGGAAAGACAAGGTGGGGGAGTGGACAGACACCAAGCTCTGACGGAGGAGCCAGGGGAGGGCAGGGAGGAGGGCGGGAAGAGAGGAAAGGGGTTGGATGAAAGGTGGAGAGGAGCCAGGAGAGGGAGGGAGAGGTGAGTGAACAAGAAGCTCGTGCAGTTGGGAAGCCGCCTTGGGAATGAAGGGGTGGTGTGGGAGGGGGAGGGCGAAGAGGTGGGTGGAGAAGATGGGGAGGAAGGTGGAAGAGGAATGATTGTGTTTGGCTGAAAGCGATTTGTGGAAGGGGGAATCGCAGGGGAATTCGCAGGGGAATTCGCAGAGGGGGTTGCAGGAGGAATCGCAGGGGGGATCGCAGGGGGGGTCGCAGGGGGAGCGACAGATGGGTGGACTTGGTTGAAAGAAGGCGCAACAAGTTGAGTCGACATGCACTCTCTAGTTACGAGGAGCCCCATCGCCTCAATGTTGTGATTGTTCTAACACCCATCGAAGCCACATGCCATACGGACGATGCATTGCAAACACGAAAACAACCATCTACCCTCTCAGTGGCAACTCGCTGCTCACATGCCTAGCACCTAGCCGTGCGCTTGTCATCCACCACCCGCTCGGTCAGCATGCTCAATCCTCCCCACTCACCATCCTCCCCACTCACCATCCTCCCCACTCACCATCCTCCCCACTCACCATCCTCCCCACTCACCATCCTCCCCACTCACCATCTTCCCCACTCACCATCCTCCCCACTCACCATCCTCCCCACTCACCATCCTCCCCACTCACCATCCTCCCCACTCACCATCCACTATAAGCTGATGCGCCACAGTGCTCTTCGAGAACAAGCTCATAGCCTGGGCTGTGCTGGGAATCAGCGGCAGCAGCGCAAACCGCGACGCCCCACCCCCCCCACTCCCTCCTTTCCCCTTCGCACCAGCCCCCCCAGCACCACCACCACCACCACTCCCCCCGTGCCCATCGCCCCCCTCATTGTGGTACAAAGCAAGGAACACGTCTATCCCTGCCAGCACGGCGTTCGCCTCGGCTTCCAGTCGCTCCGCTGCCTCCGCTGCTGCGGCCTGCGAGGCGATGAAGTCGGATTCTATGGAGCGCGCCAGGTGCAGCAGTGCCCGCGCGCGCCCCAGGGTGAACAGCTCCGCCAGCTGACAGGGGGCGTGGGAGAAGGTAAAAGGATGGGAAAGAGGGAATTGGTGGGAGGAGGGGCGGGAAGGCGGCAGGGCAGGAGGAGGATGGGGAGTGGGCGTTTTGGGGATTGCTGCCGATTGTAAATGCAGTGGGGTGGGGAGTGCATGTGGGTTGCAGCTCTATCAGAAGGAACAGCTCTAATTACGTTCCAAAACACGAATGTAACCCTTCGCTCTAGAAGTGAGGACACCTAGTGAAGGGTTGCAGGCGCGCGCATGGCAATGTGAGAGCGAGGCAGAAACACTCACAAGCTGCACTTGACCACTGACGCACAGCACAAAACACAGCACCGAAACCCCACCACACCCCACCACACCACACCAGCCAACCTCCCAGCCTGGGTGCCCCCCACAACAGCGACACAATACACAGCGACGCAGCGTCGCAGGGACGCACCCACAGCTGGTCGCACTGCCTGGCGACGTCCAGAGGAAATGCCTTGCCCTTCCTGCCGGCAGCACCTGCTGCACCGCCCTCCAGCACACCGCCAGGCTTTCCGCCTGCCACCTTCTTTGAACCGCTAGCCCTGGGCTTCTGAGCCTGCAACAGCCGCCTTCTGGCTCCCGCTGTGGCCCGAGAGGAGTTGGTAGGGCTGTTGGTGGGGGGGAGAGGGTGACAGGTTGTGGTGGCGGAGGCACGGGGAGAATGGGGGTTGAAGGGAGATGAGGAGAGAGTGGGAGGATGGTGATGGTGGGCACTGGCCGGGGACACGAGTTGAGATTGTGGCTGGTACATCACATCACACCCTGACTCGTTTTGAGAAGTCTAAAAAGAGACAATGTGGGCGGGAGGGAGGAACTGCCGCCTGAAGCAAGAGCAGAAGAACAACATCCCCACCACCCTGTTTGACATGCACATGCCACACGGCATGATAGAGAGAGCACCCACACACCTGGGAAACCCACTGGCTGCTCGCTGTTTCTCCACTGCTGAAAGCCCCAAGTCCAGGGCCACTCCTGGCCTGCCTCCCGCCTTACTCCCTCCACCACGCCCCCTTTCCCCACCCCCTCCCCCTCCCCCTTCCCCTCCCCCTCCCCTTGCCCCTCCCTCTCCTCCCCCATCCATCCATGTCTCCACCACCCCCTCCTCCCCAAAATACCCCTCCTGCTGCTGCCTGCTTCTCCGCCTCTCGTTCCACTCGCTGATCGACGGCTGGGGGGGGCGGATAGGCAGGGACGGCGGGCGGAAGAAGGAGCAGAGCGTGTAGCGGCGCGCGGAGGCAGCGAGCAGGATGGGAAGACGAGAGGGGTGCAGGGCGCGGGAGAGCACGGTGGAGAAGGAGGGGAAGAAGGAGGCGGTGGTGAAGGTGGCGGAGGGGGTGTGCAGCATGCGGTGCAGCAGGCGGTGCAGCGAGCAGTTGAGCACCCATGGCGCCGGGCAGAGGAAGCCGCCGTACAGCACTGGGGATGATGTGGGGCCCTGAGGAAGGGACGGAGGAGAGGAGGGGGAGGGGGGTGGGGGGGAAAGATGGGTGAGCGGAGGAGATAGAGTGGCAGGAGTGTTTGTAATGTAACATGAAAACAGAAGAGGAAGCGACAACCACAAGCACAGGTACATTGGATTGATTCTCCTTTTAAAACCAAGACATTCACAATCTGCATTCACAATCTGCATTCTAGCACAGCTGTTGCACCACCACAACCCCACATACACACACCCACTCTTGCCCCAATCGCCCCATCGCACCTCAAAGTACACCCCTGTGGACTCGCGCACACGTGTCATGTTCTCATTGGCCATCAGCTGCTCTACGGGTGCCGCCGGCGCCAGCTGGCTGTAGCACGTCTTGAGAGGCGCCGCCAGCTGGCAGGCTGACGTGGCGTTGATGATGCCCTGTATGCACTCTTGCTGCAAGGGGGGGTGCGAGGGGTTGAGGGGCAAGAGGGGGTAAGAGGCGTTGGGAGGAGATGAGAGGGGGTGAGGGATGGTGAGAGGGGTTGAGAGGGGAGCAACTTGGGGGTAAATGGGTGGGAGAAAGGGTGGGTAGCAGGGAAAAGGGAGGCGCACAGAGCAAAGGAAAACGAATAAAATGACGATGGAGGGTCGTGGATTGAGAGGAAGGAACAACAGAGAGGGAGGCTTGAGCAGAAAGCACATAGCTAAGACTTGCACAAGGAGAAAACGGAAGCACGGTTGTTGAATGCAGATTGATAGGCCACACAGTGCGTTTCGTCGTTCCTAAAAGAAAGAGCATGGTATGGTTCGCAGCGAAGCAAACGGATGAGTGCTCACGATCGTACCGAACATGGGAGGGAGCGGGAAAGAGGGGAGCCGGAAGGATAGGAGCAGAGTGTGGAAAGGGGCAACTGACAAGTTGGTGCGAGTGGAAAGCGGGCGAGGAGAGGTAGAGCAGGATGGGGCCGTGCTGGCGCTGGTGGAAGGGCGCCGGGCCACACGCAGGTGCCTCCATTGGCAGCTGTGTGGTGGAACGAAGTGATTTGGGTGGGAGGGAACAAACGAGCGGAGGTGAGAAGTGGGTTAAGGAGAGCGAGTTGGAAAGGGACAGGAAGGGGGCCAGTGAGTGGATAGTACAGGTTGTCTTGTCAGCATGGGGTGACCTGAGATGAATGAACTTGAGTCGCTGCTGCTGCCAGCGTACTACTGGCAGCAGCAGTTGGTTGAAATAATCGATAATCAACCAGTACTGTCAGTCACCATCACCACCAAGAAGCAGCACAGCAGCAACAAGAGCAGCAGCGCCACACGCGCGAGCGAGCATACCTTCTGCAGCACAAAGCCAGCAGGAGGCTTGAACCCTCCCATGCCCGCCTGCGCATCCATGCCTGCAAACCCCGCCTTGCCCTGCTCGCCCGGCTGCGCCACCACCTCCTCGTGCACATCCACTGTCATGCCTGGCAGCGGCATCAGCAGATCCTCAAACGCCGCCGCCATAAAACCCGCGCCCACACCCCCTACACCCTCCACACCGGCACCAGCGCCTGTCCCTGCTCCTCCCCCTGGTCCTACCCCTGTGCCCTTTCCTGTGGCTGTGGCTGAGAGGGTGCCTGGTTGTGTGGTGGTGTGAGTGGCGGAAGGGGGCAGCAGCATGTGCTGGCGCCAGTGCAGGCGCACGGAGAGGCCTGAGGCGCGCGTGAGGGCGTGCGCCACACACACTGCCTGCAACCGGTTGGGCAGCAGACCCTGTTGGTGGTGTTGGGTGGGGCGCGATGGGCAGGGGGGCACGAGACAGGGGGAGGGTGAGGTTGGACGGGTAAGGGTCGGACAGGAGGAAGGTGGGGGGGAGGGCAAGTGGGTGTGGTGTGGTGGGACATGGTGGGGTTGTCCTTGGTTGGCAGAGGAGGGTGTAGAGTGCTCGTTGGAAGGCAGAGGGCGGCATGCATAGAAGGGACTGGAGAGTGCAGTTTATTTCATTCATGTTTCATAGGGGCGGTGGAAGGAAAGAGGGGCCGTGGGATGCACCACCAGAGCATTAGCCATATTGGATATATGAGAGAACACACCATTGAAGTGGGTCATATGATGATTGAAGCACAGTGAATGCATGCATGCATGCCGCTCACCTCTGCCACCACATGCACGTCAGGTTGCACTGAAGCCCCATACAATGCCTCCGCCGATGATGCACCCTCCACAACCCCCCCTGCTCCTCCTCCCCCTCCTCCTCCCCCACCTCCTATCCCCACCACCGACCCACGAACTGAATCCGAACCAGCCCCCGTTCCTGTCCCTCCCACAGCCCCTCCTGCCCCTCTCCCTCCCCCGCCCTCTTTTCCCCCCTGTAGCTCCCCTGCCTGCACCCCTGCTGCACCCGTTCGTCCCACCACACTCCCAGACCATCCTCCCTGTCCCCCCACTGGTGCTCCTGGTGCAGCTAGTGTTGTTGGCGTTGCTGGTGCTGCTGGGGCCCCCATGCCACCCCTACCAACCACGGCACCTTCAACGCCCCTATCTACCAACGCACTGCCCTTCATCTCCCCCATCCCACCTCTCTGGACCACTGCAGAGCTGCCATTCCCTGCCACTCCGCGCCCCCACTCCTTGCTTTCCACGAACGTTCCTGGCCCTTGCCTGGCCCCCGAGAACCCTCCACCTGCCTCCTCCGGGCCCCCTCCTCCCAACCCATGCGCGCCCTGGTCCCTCCGCCTTTCCTCCCACAACTCCCTCTCGTCCCTGGGCCCTCCATGCTCCCCACTCCGCGAGTCTCTCCCCAACCTGCCCTGCTCTGCTCCTCCCTGCGTGTGCGAGCTCCCTCCCTCTGGAGGACCTTGGGTAACTCCATGACTCAAACCGTCTCTCCCCAGTGGGCCCCTGCCACTAGCCGCACCTCCACTGCTCCCTTCACTACCTCTGCTGCCCCACTCACGCCGCACTCCTGCTTCCCTCTCCCCTCCTGCACTCTCCCCTTCTTCCCTCGCTTCTCCATCTCTCTCCCTCCTCGCCCAGGCCTCCCTGCTCCCCTCCCCCAGCCCATCTCTCCACGCCCTCCCCCCTTCACCTCCCCTACCTTCCCCCTCCTCCGCACGTCGAGTCCCCCCTCCCCTATCTTCTCCTCTTCCACTCTCCTTCTCCCCCCTTCTCTCCCCCTTATGCCCCCTTCCACTCCAACTGCTCCTCCCCCACCCCCACCATCCGCGGCCTGCCACCTTGTCCCGCCCGTCCCTCTCATACCGCTCTCGCACATCCACTCTCCGCCCATCCCCCCCATTGCCACCTGCACCCTCCAATGACCCGCCTCGCCGCTCGCTGCCCAAACCCCCCGCTTCCCCGCCCTTGCCTCCTGCTCGCCAGTACCCATAAGACCGTGGCTCTCCCTCGGAGGAACTCTTGTTCCCTGCCTCTCTACCCCCTGCGTCTCCACCCCCTGCTTGCCCACCAATGCTCATCTTCTCATTTCCGCCCTCCACCGGTTCATATTTTTCTCCTCCTCCTCTACTTCCTCCTTCCCCTACCATTCCCACTTTCCCTTCTCCTTTTCCTGCCCCACTGCCCCCTCCTCCTGCTCCTCCCTTCCCTCCATACTCACCCAAGTACCTGCCTACTTCCGCAACCCCTCTCGCTCCACCAGCCCCTCCCCTTCCTACCTCTCCTCCCAGTTCTCCTCCTCCTGTTGGTGTTCCCTTTCCACCCAGCGGCCCGTCTGCGCTCCTCCCCAGGAGCACCTCCGCCCCTTCCGCACTCCTATTCGTCCCTCCCCCCACCGTGCCATTCGCGCCCAAACCACCGCTCACATTCACCTGACCGCCACCCACGAGCCCTCCCACCCAATCTTGCGTGCCCACTCTGCTGGTAACATTCTCCCCCTGTCCCTCCGTTCCCCCTTTCCCTCCCCATTCTCTGTCCGCTGCGCCCCAAGCACCCTCCGCGCGCCCCCCCCTTCGCCGCTGGCTCGTCCAATCACGCGAATCCGCAAACGGCATCTCGTCATCACCCACCATTCGCGCATCCCCGTTACTGTCATCCCCGTCGCCCCGCTGCTGCACCGCCAGGAACGAGGACGCCGGAAGGGTCGTGGCGGCGTGTCGCTTCCCCTGCTGCCGCACTGGCCACGACATTTGCATGGTTGCGGAAGCGAGGATGAAGACGCTCAGGAATAACCATCGGCGGCGTCCCCCCAGGTGCACCTTGCGCAACTGGTCGCCGATCTGATAACCTATTCCCCGCCCGAACCGCCCTATCCGCCAAATTTGCCCCTGGATCGCGCCGCTTCCGCCGCCGCCGCTACCGGCGTTGGCGCTGGTGCTGGCACCGGCAGCAGCAGTGGCGGCGACAGCAGCGCGAACGGATTTTGCGGCTTCTTGGCATTTTGCGAGGAGATCCCGGTACCACAGGCGGAGGAGGACGGCGGTCTGCGAAAGCCAGAGGTGCTGCATGGCGGCATGTCGCGGTGACGCGGCGATGCGAGATTCCGGGCTCTCAGTCTCGCGTGGTTGCTAGCTTGAGTGATGGCGCATCGGCGCGGCTAGACGAGCGAGGGCTGTGCGCAGACGAGAGTACTACACTTCGACGCGACGACAGACGCGGAGGATGGCGAGGCGAAGAGAGGGAGCAGTGATCACAAAGAGAAGGTGCGCGACCCTCCCTACTCGCTAAGTCCCGATGGATGGTGCTTGCTGTGGAGTGGAATGGAGTGTTTGTTTACTATGCTGTGGTGGTGTTGGGTGTGATCTGCGGAGGAGGTGGGTGGTGGTGGTGGTGGGTGATCATGCCAAATTGACACGACCGCACAACTCGCGTTGAGTGAGGGCAAGTCCCGTCCTGAAAGTACGTTCTTGCGTAATACCCTACCCAACCACTCTAAATATGTAATAGACCTTTCTAGATTATGCTAAGCCTTACTACGTTTGGGACCCTCCCTGAGGCTCGAGGGTGAAGGCCAGGGTGGACGTGGTGAAATCCGTACGTTTGGGTGTACAGTGCGGCTGGTCGTTGAGATAAAGTCAGACGCGCTTGCATAAGATTACACCGCGACCAACTTAGAAACAGAACTGTATATTTCCTTAACATGTCCCATGCACCTTTACAGATACTTACAGGCACCGTAAAACACCCTTTTCCCTTTCTATTATAAGCAGCTCCCAGCAGGAATGCAGTTTCAACTAGTTCATGCACTAGTAAAGACCGCCCAGCTTGGGCAAAACATTTGAATCAAGTTTCTCTTAAATTTTAGTAGAAAGGCAAATAAGAAACAAGTACAGGCAGCGGCAGAGCACCAGAGGTATGTGCAGCTCTGAAGCCAGACAAGAGGGGCTCATACACTCTGCTCCCCTGCCTTACCTAAACAAACCCAAGCACTTCAAAAAACCCAAATCCCAACACAACAAGCAGCAAATTCACATCCCAAGAGTGTCCATGACTCAGCCCTCCATCCTCCCATGCCTTCCCTTCTCATCCCTCAATTCCATAGCACAAGCACACTCCCCATTCCCATTCCGCATCCCCATCCCCATGCATTGCCCGATCCGCACGTCGCATGGCGCATGTCCCATCCGCACGCCGTCATGCCTCGTGCTGCACTCCGAAGTGCGCCACGTAGTGAGCGAAGCGAGCGCGCTGCTCCTGCTTGTCCAGGTGCGTGTCCTCCCACCGGTACACATGGCGCTGCGCCTTGCGCTCCTGCCGGGCCACCACAAGCAACAAGGACCCGAGAGAACAGGAGACGTGAGAAGACCAGCGGCAACAGCCAAGGCAGTTGCTGGAACAGGCTTTGGTGATCAAAGGGTGAGCTGCACGCCTTACTCACTAGTCACTGCGGACATTTACCATCCCATGCACTCTCGCCTCTATCCCACGCAGCACAGAAACTCACTTCCTTCAACTCACCTTGGCATCTTCTGCGAGGTACTGGCGCATGCGGTGCTCAGCCCAGGGGGAGAGCTCCTCCCCGTAGTGCGCGTAGATGCGCTTCACCTGCGCGATGGGGTCGCGCACAAACTCATGGTACAGCACATCCACTGCCAGCGACGCCCTCCACTCCTCTTCCTCCTCCTCTTCCTCCTCTTCCTCTTCCGCCTCATCCTCTCCCTCACCAGTGTCTCCCCCCTCCTGCTCCTGATCACTCTCTCCGGTGCTCTCAACGTCCCCATCCATATTCTCGTCCTGCTCCGAGTCAGAGTCGGTGCTCGTGCTGCCCAATCCGCCGCTGCTGCGGCTGCTGTCGCTGCACACGCTGCTGCAGTCATCACTGGAAGAGTCTTGAAAGCCGATCTCCCTCCGGCTGTCCCGCTCGGCCCGCAGCTTCTCCCTCTCAGCAGCCTTCTCCCTCTCAGCAGCCTTCTCCCGAAGAGCTATCATGTTGTCCAGTGCGCGAGCCAGATGTGGGGCCCACAGGGTGGAGATCTGCATGCCCATAAGCGCATGCATGGGGCAGGGGAGAGCAAGAGGACTAGCCGTTAGCTGCCACCCAGTGCTTACGGCAGAGCTGCGCATGTCAGTTGGAGAAATAAACAACAACCCTGAAAAGCATAGAGGCTGCGAGGGGGACAAGATACCCTTTCACTCCCTGCCTTCTTGCGCAACTGTTTGTACATTTGAGTTTGATGTATTACCCAGTTCATTGCCACACCAATCACTTCTCCCGCCACTTCCCCTGCCCAAATCCACCCCCCCTTGTCTTGCACCCTCCTACTTCCCAAGCCCCGCCTAAACCCCAACGACTCACAGTGGCATCGTCAACGTGCTCGCAGGTGAGGGAGCGGAAGCAGCGCATGAGCGAGTGGGCGGAGGGCAGCACGCGCAGGGGGTCCCGGTGAGTGCACACCACGCGCGCGTCAGGGAAGACTTGCAGCAGCGCGGGCAGGGAGAAGATGTGCTCGGGGCTCTTGAGCAGCCAGTGCGGCGCGGAGGGGCCGTGGTGCTGCAGGTACTGCAGCTGCCAGCGCAGGAAGCGGTAGGTGGGCGTGATGTGCGATGCCATGAACCAGTCCAGGTACTGTGGTGCGTGCAGGTACGCGAATGGCAGCACAAACGACGTGCAATCGTAGCTGGTGTGTTTGGCAAGGGAGGGGCCAGGGAGGAAAGGAAGGGGGGGTTGGGGTTTGAGGGAGGGGGGTGAGGGGTTGGGGACGAGATGGGTGGCGTGGATGGAAAAGAACGGAGAGGCAGGCTGGCGCGGAGTGAGGTAGCTGGAGAGTGCGGAGACAGATGAAGGCACAGCACGGCTAGCACAGTAGGGCGAGGTGCAGCAGCAGAGCGAGGGGCAGCAGAGCGAGGGGCAGCGAGGGGCAGCAGAGCGAGGGGCAGCGAGGGGCAGCAGAGCGAGGGGCAGCAGCAGAGCGGGGAGGGCGCACCACATAAGTTCAAAGGTCTCCTGTGGGCCTTGAGCAGTCATGTGGTGGATATGCTTGAGGTCGGGCACAAGAGCGTCCAGCGCAAAGAGCGACTCCTCCATGAGCCCCCCGCGTGCGTCGCTCTCGTACGTGGCGCGCTGCGGCGGCGGATACAGGTGGTGGCACTCCCACGTGCGCGGCGTTCGGAAGGTGCGCGAGTCGAGCGAGAGCAGGTTGAAGAGGAGAGTGGTGCCCGTGCGCGGCATGCCCAGCACCACCAGCGGCGCCTGCGGCGAGCGGATTGGAGGGCGGAGGGGGAGAGGATGGGGGGAAAGGATGGGAGAGGGGAGAGAGAGGAGAGGGGAGAGGGGAGAAGAGAGGGGGGAGAGAGGGGGAGGGAGATCGAGACAAGATAAGTAGGGGGCGTTATAGGCAGGGTGCAGAAAAGGGAGGAAGAGTGCAGAGGGCAGGTTCCGCTCTGGGGCATAGGTATCCCTGTTGCTTACGGTTGTCTCTTGGTACTGTTTGCTTACAGAAAATTGTTGCTGGTTTGCTTAATGTTCGTTTGTGAATGCGAACGTGTGGCATGTGCGCGCGCGCATCCGTCTGTGCGCGCGCGCGCCCGTGTAGGAGGCGCAACGCAACAAAATCTCACCTTGATGGGCTCGTTCTCGATCTCAGGGTGTTGCTTGCGGTGCTCCACCAGGTGCAGCCTGCACTGCAGCAGGCGCTGCCCAGTCACGCGAGGGGCAAGGGACAAAAACGGGAGGAGAGAGGCGCTGTGAGCAAGGGGAGTAGGTCGCCACGGATTGAATGTAGGAGGTGAAGAGACGACGCACTGGAAGGGTTGGGTTGCTTAGCGAATGTTACTTTCAAAAAGAAAAACTGGTTGCTTCGGAGACATTCGGTAGGTCGGACAAGAGGCCAGCGACGAGGGGCTTTCGGAGCAACGCGAAGTTACGACATGGAATCATGTCGGCGCGGATTTGGCGACGATGCGCGGGAGTCCGTCAATGAGCACGGCAGGGCGCGTCTCACCTGCACGTCGAGCCAGATGGCGATCCGTCCAAACGTCGACAGGTTCGCGTTTTCGCGCGCGTCCTTCGCCGCCAGTCGCATGGCCGTCACGAAGCTCGTGTCGCCAAAGTCCGAGAGTCCCGTGCACCACTGCGCGCAGCGCAGCATGGCGTCCTCGCGGAAGGGGATCAGCCAGTCCAGCGGGCGGAACCACGGCGCAACTGCTCCGCACTGCCGCCCCGCCCAGTTGATTGCGCGTACGGCCGCGGGGATGAGAATTTTCAGCACGGCCCGCACGCGCGCCTTGGCGGGGGAAACGGGCGCCGGGCGGAAGACGTCGTAAGGGTTGGCGGACGGGGAGCGGGAGGCGGATTTGGTCGCATCGGAGGGCTGGTTGAGGGGGGACGCAGCGGCGGTACCTATGCCGGCCCATTGCGACGCGACGACGACGACTACGACGACAAGGGCGGCGAGAGCGACGAGCGAGGCGACAACGACGGAGACGATGACATTGAAGAGAAGCGGAGAAGCGGATGCGGGCGCATCGTGGCACGCAGAGCGGATCGAGGAGGGCGCAAGACGAGACACTGGCGGCAATGGCGCAAGCTGTGGTATTGGCGATGATGGCCATCTCGCCCAATGAGGAGAGGTAATGCAAAGATGAGGATGAAGTGGAGGTCTGAGCCCTCATGTACCACAGGAAACGCGAATTGGATGCGCAACTCCAGGAAACGCGAGGCTAGAATTGAAATCGTTTCAGTGCTGCCTTGCAAAGGGCAGATAAAACATAAAACCCAATCGGAAAAGGATGCGATTCGGGAAGGCATCAAACCTGCAACACCAGGTGGATTCCCTCCCGAAAAGGTGCCCAGGTTCTTCTACTGGTTGAGTTTTTTTTCTGCCCTGGCCAAAATAACTTGGTAGTGTCGTTTAGTGCCGAGTCAGTGGTCAGTAGTCACCGTGTGCGTCGCGCCGCAGGCACACCGAACTTTCTAACGTTCGCAAAACGTTTGCATGGATACGTGCTGATGACAGTTCTGTACAAATAATATAGCACAAGCACAAGCATCAAGCAAAGCACCAACATGTGTTATTCAATTCAAGTAGCTTCTGCAATTTTCACGGTCTGCCCTCCACAAAAGGTTTGCCCCACATTGTCCCACCCCAACACACATAGCCCCAACTAGGCGCGCTCACCTGGGTGACCCATCACCGCCCCCAAAAGACCTGACATCTAGCCACCAATTTCTTGACGACTGGCCACGAGACGAGCACGGTCCTCCCCCGCCATCGACTGTTGTTGCAGTTCACCGTCGCTAATTGTTCTCCCCGGTTTCACAGGCGATCGAAATTGCACTCAAGTAGGAAAACAGAAATGTGATACTGAATGACATCATAACAAGGATGAAATCAGCGGAACCGAGCCAGGCGAGGTCTTTGTGCCAAAATCTAAACAGCCTCGGAAAGGTGGCGAAGAGCACACGGCGAAATTGAAAGCCGAACCGGCGGGACAACGAGGCAAAGTCGGTTTGTACAGGTACAAGCTTTTCACAATAAGGATGTGTATATCTTTTACATTGTCTACACTGCCAATCAAGCACTCCTAACATTCAAAGAATCTAAATGTAATGAAGGATATCGCTGGTCAAGCTGTATTCGGCAGAGCAGAATTTGATTACGAGCTTGATTAAGGGTGAACCTGAGTTGCTTGCTTTGCCTTGTTGCTTCTCTTGACTGGTTTTGTGACCACTTGTCTCTCTTGCTTGTTCCGGTGCCCCTCACCTACGGTAGCCTAGGGGTGAGTCAAACATAAATCATACTTTTGTTAGATTTGCTAGGCAATAGTGGGGTGCATCTTAGGGGGTACAAACACATCTCTCTCGACATCCTACCGGTACTTCCGTTCAACCTAAGGTAAATTGCTCACACAGCACAAACTTGCAGTGGTATGATCAGACTCGTGTGGTATGGTACGTCTACTTTTTGTAGGATGAAACAAGTATTGTGTCACATTTCAGTAACGTAACATATCGTATTGTAGCACCAACATGTTTGTGAATATGATGGTTAAGATGTTGGGCTGAAAAACCCTTAGGATCTTTGCAGGGGTGAACTCTGGGTAGAGTTGGTGTAGTAGCGGAAGCGTTAATTAAAGAGTTGTGAACCACCTTGCGCTAGTATGTGAGGGCAAAGTAAGTTGATTAAAACAAAGAGATACAAGCTTTTATAAGAGTACAAGGAATACGAAGAGATACAGTTAATAACCGTTTTACTATTGCTGTTGCGGTTCGATACAGTGACGACTCGGGCAACTGCTCAATACCGAGTCAGTTGTTTGTCCTTGCTGTCGCGCTGTACTTTGTCAGGTCAAAGGTCGCTGACCTTTGACTTTCGCGTAACCTCCAACAGTTACTTTCAACCTCCGAGGGTTGACTCGCCGGTGATTTGTTATACTTCGTTTCTTTTGTGTCTTAGTGTTTCAACACGACAGAGGCGCTTAGGACCGATTGTTTCCAACACTCCCCTTCGCTTCTAGAGTGTCGCTGACGTGGCTCTGTCCAGTCAGCAGCATGCAGTATTCGAACTTCTGCTTTCCGAGCTTCTTGGTCAGGTAGTCAGCTGCCATCTCGGACGTGGGACAGTATGACAGTTCGAGCCTTCCCTTCTCGATCTCGTCCTTCACGAAGAAATATCGCAGGGCGATGTGTTTCGTCCTGTTCGCGAAGCCGTTCTTGTTGGCGATGCGAATTGCCGACTGGTTGTCGCAGAACAGGGTAAAGTTGGGTAACTCGGCTAACTTCGCTTCTTCCAGCAGCTCGCGAAGATAGAGTCCTTCCTTGGTGGCTGAGCAGAGTGCAATATATTCTGCTTCAGCTGACGAGAGAGCAATTAATTCCTGCTTGCTCGACTGCCAAGAGATAGGTCCGATAGGTTCGAGGCGGTAGATGTAGCCGGTGCGGGAGCGCCTATTGTCGGAGTCGCCAGCGTGATCAGCGTCGACGTAGCCGATTAACTTAGTTGGTGTGGTTGCGTTCTTGTAGTAAGTTAGGCCGATCGTTGGGGTGCTGACGAAGTAGTGAAGAGCGCGGTCGAGCTCCGCCAGATGTTCTGCTTCAGGCTTCTTGAGGTAGGTGGCGAGCTGGCTTGCGGAGTATGAGAGGTCGGGGCGACAGGTGACGGCTGCGAAGAGAAGACATCCCAGCTTCTTCTGGTAGTCTCGTATGCCGGCGGGCTTGAGTAGAGCGGAGCTTCCTTTGTCGTTCCCTGCCATGTAGCGGTATGGCGTGGAGATGGCTGTCTGTGTGAGCGTAAAGCGTTTGGCGATGGTGTCGGCATATTTCTCGGCGCTGAGGTAGATCGCGTCCTCCTCTTCCCGGATGTTGAGGCCGAGGTACTGAGTGACGGTAGATGAAACTGTGAGCGTGAGATCTCGCTGCAGCTCCCCTTCGAACCAGGTAGTGATGCCGTCATTTGAGCCGATGTAAAGGAGATCGTCCACGTAGACGATTAGTAGGATGTAGTCGTCGTTTTTTGTGAGCCGGTACATGCCTTGATCGTGCGGTAGTTGCTTGAAGCCGATGCGAATGAGGCGAGCGTGCAGGTACTGTTGCCACAGTCGCGGAGCCTGCTTGATGCCGTAGAGTGACTTGAGTAGCTGGCAGACTTGGTTGGGTTCTCTGTGGGAGCCGTGCGGTAGCTCGACGAAAATTTCTGCATCAACAGGTGCGTAGAGAAACGCGTTCGCGACGTCAATTTGTCGCAGCTTCTTCTTCTTCATGGCGGCGATTGCGAGGAGAATGCGTAGTGAGGTGTGGCGGCTAACCGGAGCAAAAGTTTCGGTGAAGTCGCGTCTGTGTTCTTGGTCGAAGCCGCGTACAACCCAGCGAGCTTTAAATTTGTCAATGGTGCCGTCAGCCTTTATCTTCACACGGAAGACCCACTTCCCGGTGAGCACTGTCTTGTTCCGTGCCACGCCGATAGGAACCACTTTCCACGTGTTGCGTCCCTCCAGTGCCTTCAGCTCCTTGTCCATGGCTTCGCGCCATTTTTCCTTATGCTCCCCCCCCAGAGCCTGTTGAACCGTCGCAGGCTCTTTAGGAATGGCGGTGCCGTGGACTGCGGTGACGAGTCCGAGAATTTGCAGTCCACTCTGTGAGTAGCGGGGAAGATTTGCGTCCTCGGGATAAGCTGCTTCATCTCCCGCTTCTGGATCAGGTATGAAGTTGGGTCCTACTCGTTCTGCTTCGTTGGTGTTGACTGTCGCAGGTGTTACGTAACCATTGTCGGCGAAATAGTAGAAGGTTTCGGCGTTGACACTTTCGCGAGGGTTATCTTCGTCCATGGGAACGTCGACGGAGCAGAACGGAAGAGGTCCGGCTTCTTCTGATGCGTTGTCCACATTCTGCTCGTCCCAGTCAGCTTCGTCCGCTGCTGGGGCGAAGGCTCGGTCACCGCGAAAACCACCTGTGGGATCCTGGTCTTCTTGCAGGTTGGCAAGGTATGTCTGGAGCGTGAGTCGTTCGTAGAAAATTACATCACGTGCTGCTACTGTTTCCTTGGAATGGACGTCGAAGATTTTCCACGCGTTGTAGTTCTTTTCGATTCCCAGGTGTAGTCCCCACTGTGCTCGTTGAGAAAATCGGCCCGCTCGTGCTGCTGGGGGTCGATACTGTACCATGCATCCGAATACTCGTAACATTTTTGTGCTGCCCTGTTTCCCTGTCCATAGCAGATGCGGTGATGCGTTGTTTGGAAGCGATGATGACGAGAGCAAGTTGTGCAGCATGACGGCGTGGTCCATTGCCGCAGGCCACTGGTGGTTGGGTAGCCGCATGCCACGTAACAGTTTGCGCATGCTGTTCTGCAAGGTCCTGTTCATTCTTTCTGCTACACCTTGCTGCTGATGGGCGTAGGGAAGGGAGATGAGCCGCTTGATTCCCCTTTCCGCCAGGTACTGCTTGAATCGCTGAGAGGTGTATTCTCCTCCTCCGTCTGACTGGAAGCTTTTCAGTTTCACGCCCGATTCTCTCTCTGCTACTGGTAGCCAGGCAACGAAGGCTGCGAATGCCATGTCGCGGCTAGGGAGGTTTAGGTGCCAGACGTAACGGGTGGCGGCGTCGATGAAGGTGATTGTATAGTTGTATATTACTTGTCCTGGTTCCCGATTGTACAGGATGTCGCTATACACCTTCTCGAGTGGTGCATACGCGGGTGCGCTCGGGTTGTGATGAGACGCAAACGGTCGATGTGGTAAGTCACCTTCAGGGCAGGTGAAGCACGTTCCGCGTACTCGTTGAAGTTCTCGTCCGTCGGTCAGTAGGAGTGAGTCCTTGTCGAGTACTCCTGCTCTTATCGTATTGTTTAATACTGTGTTGCTTGGGTGTCCCATCCTTGCGTGCCAGGTGCTTTCGTCGGCGCGATGTCCGGGTGATCGTCGGTACATATCGGAGTTGGAGTAGAAGTTGGCGGTGAAGTTGGCGCTACGATGAACTTCTCGTGGTGCTGGGTGTAGTTGTTGCGCGGGTGTCGGTGGTGTGTCGTCGATGAGGAGCGGTGTCGTTGAAGGACCAGCAATTGGTGTTGACGTTCCTGCTGCTGCCGTTGATGGTTCTGCTACTGCCGATGTTGTCTCTGCTGCTGCCGATGTTGTCTCTGCTGCTGCCGATGTTGTCTCTGCTGCTGCCGATGTTGTCTCTGCTGCTGCTGATGTTGTCTGAATTGTTGCCAACGCCCTTGTTCTTTCTGCTTCAGGGATGGTGTCTGAATACCAGAAGCCTTCTGGACTGAAGTCTGGATCAATGTCTGGAGGGTGTGTCCAGTTGGTGAAGTTAACGATGGCGTCGCTGTCGGCGGTGCCAAGACCAGGAACGAAATCAAGAACGAGGACGTTGTTCTTGAGGACCGCCTTGCCGATGTAAAGTCCTCCTCTCCCGTGATACAGCTTGAATTCTTGGGTGGTGCTGTCTGCTTCGAGGTGAATCCCTTTCGCCATTAGCTGACTGACGCTCAGTAAGTTGTAGCCGAGTCCCTCCGCGATTAGTACTTTTGACATCTGCAGTATAACGTTTGTTTCCCTTGACTGAAGTTGAACTACGCCTTGTCGTTGTGTTCGCAGGTTCTGATTGTTGGCGACTGTAATGACAACTTCGCGTTGAAGTTGGTGTTCTCGTTGAACGAAGCGTCCCGAGGAGCACATGTGCTGTCCGCAGCAACTGTCCAAGAACCATGTGTCCTTTCCGGATGGTTCGCTTTGGGCGATGGCGGCGTATGTCGGGTTCGGCTGAAGTGACTCGCGGCGGGGTGTGGTTTCGTCGAGTTGTTCTTTCGGTGAGTAGTGTGGTGGTGACTCGGTGATGCAGGAGTCACTCAGCTTTGCCATGCAGCTGACGATGTTTCTTGCTCCTTGTGCAGGTTGTCCCGTTGAAGTCGTTGAGGCTTGAATCTGGGTCGTGGGATTTGCTTGCGTTGAGGCGATTTGGCTGCTTGAAGGTCGAAGTTGCCGCTGTGGAGTTGTTGACTGTTGACGATTTGGGCAGTGCGTACGCGGGTGTCCTGAAGTTTTGCAGATGTGGCAGAACGGAGGTACTGGCTTCGGTTGTTGCTGCCGGTTGTTGTTGTTGTTGTAGCGTCGCTGAGTGTGGAACGCGAATTCCGGTGCTGATGTCTTCTTTTTGTGTCGTTCTTCTTGCAGGTCCTTGTCTTGCTGCTCAGCGTGGATTTCGGCGCAGAGCGCTGCTTCGGAGATTCTTCCGTGAGCTCGGAGAATGGCCTTTGTGGCGCGCCATTGAGGACCGAGGCCGCCGATGATGACTGTCACGAAGGCGTCTTCAGAGATCGACCCTCCGCATCGAAGAAGCTTGTCGCGCAACTCGCGACATCGACTGATATACGCCATTCCTTTCTCCCCTGGTTTCATTTCAACCGTTGTCAGTTGCGCCATTAACCGACTTTGGCTTACGCTGTCTGTTGCTTGATACAGGCTCTTCAGGTGGTTGTACGCGAGCTCCGCGGAGTTGCCGTAACCTCGGTAAGACCTTATGTTCTGCTGTTGAGTCGGGGTGATATTCCTCAGTAGGATCGTGTACGCCATCATTGACTGATAGGTGTACTGCTGCTTCTCGTACTGTGTGCCGTTTGTTGGGTATGGCAGAGACCCGTCGAAGAACCCGAGTATCTGCGCGCCTTCCATCATCAGCTCGAACTCGAACGACCAGGTGAAGAAGTCCTTTCCATCGAAGGGTCTTGACGTCTGCATCTTCAGAACGTGTGCGAACTGCGACTGAACTTGTAATGCGTCCAGTGATTTTTCTTGTCCAGGTGAAGGCTGTGGGTGTGGCATAAAGCTGATGGACCCGCGCTCGTACGGAGCAAAGGTAGGCTGCTGTTGTTGATTTCCTCGTGCATATGATGAGCCGTCGAGACTCATGGGTGTTGCTCCGTTGTTGTTGCTGTTGTGTGACTGCGCAGGTGCCGATTGCTGGTGTTGCTCGTAGAAGGACATGAAGGAGAAAAACTTCTCCATCATGCTCTGGTCGAAGTCTGCAGGTTGATTCGCGGGAGTCTCGGTAGATGTTGCTCTGGGTCTTGTTGCTGTGCCCTCCTCTGTCTGTAGACCAGAGGCAGGAGGTGGAGTAGGAGTAGTGCCCTGGGAGCCGTTGGAGTTGCTCCTTTCCTTTTGTGTAGCCATGCTTGTTCATGTTGTCGGTATAGAAGTTGAATTCCCTCTGATAGCTCTCATACCATGTTGGGCTGAAAAACCCTTAGGATCTTTGCAGGGGTGAACTCTGGGTAGAGTTGGTGTAGTAGCGGAAGCGTTAATTAAAGAGTTGTGAACCACCTTGCGCTAGTTTGTGAGGGCAAAGTAAGTTGATCAAAACAAAGAGATACAAGCTTTTATAAGAGTACAAAGAATACGAAGAGATACAGTTAATAACCGTTTTACTATTGCTGTTGCGGTTCGATACAGTGACGACTCGGGCAACTGCTCAATACCGAGTCAGTTGTTTGTCCTTGCTGTCGCGCTGTACTTTGTCAGGTCAAAGGTCGCTGACCTTTGACTTTCGCGTAACCTCCAACAGTTACTTTCAACCTCCGAGGGTTGACTCGCCGGTGATTCGTTATACTTCGTTTCTTTTGTGTCTTAGTGTTTCGACACGACAGAGGCGCTTAGGACCGATTGTTTCCAACATAAGAAACGCGACTAATATAGTGGCTATTAGCATAGTACGGTAAGTGTGTAGTAACTTGACTATACCCTGTGAGTGTGTTACGTTGTCGGAAGGGAAAAGCTCTTGACATTCTGCCATTCACATACACACATGCAAACACGCCCGCACGTGCACTCCCAGAACCAGGGACACACACAGACAAACACAGACAGGCATACACAGGCACATGCAGGCACAGACAGACACAGACAGGCACAGGCAGGCACAGACAGGCACAGACAGGCACATAGAAGCACAGAGAGGCACAGAGAGGCACAGATAGGCACAGATAGGCACGCGCATGCGCACGCACACGCTCGCGCGAGCGCGCACGCGCGCACCGCACGCACCCACGCATGCACGCACACACCCACTCACGCACGCACGCACGCACCCACACACGCACACATGAACCCACACACAGACAGATCTCCACAGACAAGAGCGCACGCGCACGCACGCACGCACGCACGCACGCACGCACGCACGCACGCACGCACGCACGCACGCACACACACACACACAAGAAGCTCTCGGGGCCACCACACATGCGTGTTCACATAACGGAAAGACACAAATGTATACATCCAAAGTGAAACAAGCAAGAAAAATACGAGAAGGCAAGAAGAAAATTCTGAAAGACGTGCTAGGAAACTTGTTGGTTAATGCGGTGACGGGCGTGGCAAACCAGCAGCAGATAGAGCAGAAGTTGCATTCAAAGCAACGTGCCAATGTGCCAACAGCGAACAAGTCAGCGTATCACATGCTCCCTCTCCGTGCCTGCCTCTCTCCGTGCCTGCCTCTCTCCGTGCCTGCCTCTCTCCGTGCCTGCCTCTCTCCGTGCCTGCCTCTCTCCGTGCCTGCCTCTCTCCGTGCCTGCCTCTCTCCGTGCCTGCCTCTCTCCGTGCCTGCCTCTCTCCGTGCCTGCCTCTCTCCGTGCCTGCCTCTCTCCGTGCCTGCCTCTCTCCGTGCCTGCCTCTCTCCGTGCCTGCCTCTCTCCGTGCCTGCCTCTCTCCGTGCCTGCCTCTCTCCGTGCCTGCCTCTCTCCGTGCCTGCCTCTCTCCGTACATTTCTCCCCCCCCTCTCTCCCTCCCTCCCTCCCCTCCCTCCCTCCTTCCCTCCCCTCCCTCTCCTCCCTCCCTCCTTCCCTCCCTCCCTCCTTCCCTGCCTCCCTCCCTCGCCCTCCACACTCACGCCCCTCACTTCCGTGCACCTCGCGGGCGGCGCATCGGCGGAGGGCGCCCATGAGCGCGGTGCACTTGGAGAGGTCCGTGCGCGCATCCGCCACGCAGTTCAGCAGATCCACCGCCTCCTTCCCGCACGCCACCTCCCCCCCTCCCGCCGCCTCCGCCGCCGCCGCCACTGCGGCAGGTGCCTTCCCGCCGTGGAGCTCTTGCCGCGGCGCCTGGCCGTCCGCTTGCGGGGCTGCGCTGGTCGCGGGGGATGCGGTGCTCAAGGGGGAAGCGAAGGGCGGAAGCTCCGCGGAGGAGGGCGCAGCGGGCGATGGGGACGTGGCTTTGTCGGCGGGGGGAGGTGAGGGCGCGGATGCCATGATGGTGGGATGTGGGAGGAGGGGAAGTGCGGAGCGATAGGAGGACCCCTCGCGGGTGAAACCTGAGAATCGGTACGGACCCCTCACCGGCGTACCCTCGGCAGTGATGTGATCTGATAGCTCCTGTGTGATCAAAGGAGGGGCAGCCAGAACGAAACAAGTGACTCGGAGAACGGAAGGAACTATGAAGTGGTGTACCGCTGCGTGAACCCTCCTGCTGAGAATGTGGGCTGTTGCGCGCCGATGGTTGTGACGTCAAGGCTCGTAGTAAAATGACTCGCTTCCTGTTAATGTTGGTGCACACATGTGAAACATGTTAGATCAGACATATGTCCCACGAATGGTAGTAATAATATCCCCTGAGTAGTTGTGTATCTGGTGAGGTAGTATAGTGCTGGCTGACGAAAAAACTATACAGAACTTTATTACAAAACAGCACCATAACAGGGTGCAGTAAAAAAACAGTGCAATACGTTTTCTAAGAGTACGAATACAAGAAAACCAAAATGTCAATAGTAAGCTGGGCGCTCACGACATTGCTTCACTGCCTCCTGCAAAACCGAAGAACAAAAAGCGGGAGAGACACACCAGTGCTTCAATCTGTTCAGTAAGCGAACACATTCATATGCGCAAACACCCAAAAATAAATGCTTCTAAACTTTCTGCAGACATTGACACGCTGTATCCATCGTCATCATTTTATGATGAATGGCTGGAGGGAGGGAGACAGTAAGGGAATGTATGCGCAAGTGTGAGCACGGGTGCGTGGGTGTGATCATGCGCATGTGGGTGTACGTGTGTGCGTGTGGGTGTCAGTGTGAATGCGGATGTGGATGTGAATGTAAATGTGAATGTGAATGTGGATGTGGATGTGGATGTGGATGTGGATGTGGATGTGGATGTGGATGTGGATGGTGGTGGCAGGTGGGTGCACGTGTGCATGGACGCACACACATGAGTGAGTGAGTGAGAGATTGAGAGAGTGGTAGAAGAAAGCCTGACTTGAAAGGAAGCCTTGAGTTGCAGCATTTCTCCATCGAGGGCAGTGAGGGCTGTGTTGTACGCCTGCTGCGGAGAAGACTGGCTCGTTGTCTGGATCTGCACCAACCATGGGGGCATGAGTGGCATGGGACGTGCATGGGTGGGATGGATGGCACAGGGTGTGGTGGAGAGGATGTGGCAACGGGTGGGCACACATGGGAGCTTGCATCTTGAAATGTGATTTGGGAAGCAAAAGGGAAAGCAAAGAAAAGGGAAGATAGAGAATAATGTGGGTGGGGGCGGGTTGCGAAGAGAGAAAGTGATGAGAATTGAAAATCCGTGCGAGAGGATTGTGGTGACAAGCAGTTGCGAAATCCGAACGTGGGGGGTGACACAGAACACCTGGAGGAGGGAAAAAAGAAAGGAGGATGAAAAATGCCAGCAGAAATAAGCTCATCTGGGCTTTCAGGGGGTAATGACAGAGGCAGCGTAAGGAGCGAGAGGAGGAAGAGAGGCGCGGAGGGGCAAGAGTGGGCGGAGGTGCAGACGAACCTTGAACTGCACTTCATACTTGAGCGGGTGAGGAATGCGGTAGCCCACGAAGAGCACATGGGGGTCTCTGTGTAGCTGCCTGCAACCCCATGCACACATGCATCCGTGAGCGCATACATCCGTGAGCACATACATCCGTGAGCGCATGCATCCGTGAGCGCATACATCCGTGAGCGCATGCATCAGCATGCAATCCACCGATGCACCCGTGTATGCAGCACATCACATGCGTGCATGGATGTCAGCAGCACAGCACACAGAGCATGGACACGTCCCACACCCATGCACGCAAAGATGGAGACAGAGCATCGGCTCATACATGAGCCAAATGGGAGGGGTAAGGCGGCGACGGGGAGGGTGGGGAGTGAATTGGAGAAACGGAGGTGGAGTGGAGGAGTGGGAGAAGTGGAGGGACATGTGGGAGGCGATGAGCTATAAGTAGCGGGTCAGATGGGGGAAACGGAGTGGAGGATGGAATGGGGCGGGGCGTGTGAGAAGCAGAGTGCGGCAGAAGTAACACGATTGACGAAGTGCAGGGTGTGGCAGCGCGTGGCAGCGCGTGGCAGCGCGTGGCAGGGCGTAACAGGGCGTGGCAGGGTGTAACAGGGTGCGGGGCAGCAGTGGCGGGCAGGGCACGTACATGCGCAGCAGGTTGCCGATGGTGTGGTCCTCCCTCTGTATCACCAGCGTCGCCGCGTTCAACACCTTGGTGTCGCGCTCATACGACACCCTGACGCACGCACGGACATGGGCACGAGTACACGCACACGCACACGCACACGCACACGCACGGGCACGGCCACGGACACGGGCAAGGGTATGGGTACGGTTACAGGCAGACAGGTAGAGGCAAACACTGAGGCAGGAACGCAAAGGTGTGTGATGACAACGCCATCCCACGATTTTCCACGCGCGCTGCCTTCCGCGTCCTATATCACTGAATTCCGCCCCCCCCAACCCATCCCTCTCCGCCATCCCCGTTGCCGCCACCCGCGCGCCTTCCATCCCCCTTTGTCCACTTCGGACAACGAGGGAAGCGAGGGTGGCGGGGTAGGCTCACAGAAGCGAGTAGTGAGGGGGATCATAAAGCGGGGGTAAGGGGCGGTTGATGAACGTGCGAAGCTGAGCTGTGCGCTCGGTCTATCCAGCTCGACCCGTCGCTCTCTCTGTCCGTACGGCCGTGGGGTTCCAACTTTTGAGGCGCCTCAAAAGTCGACTCTCTGTTGTCGCTGCCGAGGGGATGCACTCACTTTTTCATGCCATCGGGGAGCACGAAGCGCTCATAGCGATCTGGCGCATTCATCTTGGCGGATAGCGGGGTCGACTGTGAAACTGGGTTGGCAAGTCGCCTAAAATAAGAAACGGTAACAACGTAGAAGTGCCACACGCAAAAACTAGGCAATGAAGCGAGGTTACGGTCGATAACCCAATAGAAACTCGTTAGATTGTCACTCGATAGTTGTGAGCATTTAATATTGCCTATTATTGCGACACTACAGCTTGTACATTCACAAGGGCTTGCACTCAGCCATACCCTGCCCTAGCCCAGGTCTCGTGAAGCTCGTTTCATCCTACCGTAACTCTCAAGTCTTTGAGAGTCACAGTGATGGTCCAGGTGATACTTTTGGGGGAAAAAAAATATCATTTGTCAATACATGCTTGCTTCATTTGCAACTTTCTAGCCAGCACATCATCCTCTGCATTCGTACGTACAGCAATACCGTATTATTTGAAAACTCGGACTGAGTAGGGTGGCCCACAGTTGGTATTAGGCTGCTATTATTTCACAAGGCATCAACTGTCAGACTGCCAGACTGTCAGACAGTCACTGAGGGCACAGAGCCAGGGCTACCCTCCCAGATTCTATCCAAGCGGTACACCTGCCACGGGGGAGGGGGGGGGGGGGGGGTAAGGGAGACAGACAGAGACACAGAGACAGTGAGCAAAGACCCTTAGTGCACACACAGAGTGAGCTCTGTTTGGAGCAAAGTCGGGCAAGCATGGAAGGAAGCAGGAAGCGAGGGAGCTCTTTGCATGTGAATCGTAATGTGAAGTGAGGACATGGAGCAGCAGGAAGGGGGAACGAGTGGGAGGAGGTTCGGTTACGTTGGGTCAGGGTGAGTTTGGTTGGGTTGAGAGGTACCTGAGCAGTGAGAGCAGGCAGTGCAAAGGAGGCTGTGGCTCCCCTGCGATAAACTTGCCTGTCCATGTGACATGGGAGAATCACAGACATACGGTATTAGCCAGGTAGATCAAAGCACGGAGGAAGATTCACAACTGAGAAGATCGATGCAGCGGAGCAGAACAGCACAGGGCATTAAATGGGAGGGTGGGGTTGGAAACGAGATGGAATGGCATGGTTAAAACACATGGAAACGTGGGCCGATTGTGCACTCAATAACAGCTACACGTATCAGCTGAGCACGACCGATTTCGACCCCATGTGAGGGTGGTGTGAAGTGGACGTGGGCAGAGCATATGGTAAGGCTTGTTAGGTGACGTACGAGTGGGGAGGCAGTGGCGTGGGAGTGGCTTGCACTGTGGGCAGCGCGTGGATGCCATGCGCGTGGTGACCTCCCCCATACTCCCGCGCTTCTGAGTCCAGCAGTAGCTGGTGTGCACACGTGGTGGGGGAAATGGATGGGTGGAGAAAGTGATGTTGGCACGAGGGAGGGAGGGAAAGTGGGGAGAGGAGAGGAAGGAAAGGGAGGGACGGGAGGGGAGCGGAGGTGGGGTGTTGCGGGGAGGAATGATTGCAGTGGGGCAAGGAGGAAGAGGAGGAGGAGGAGGAGGAGGAGGAGGAAGAGGAGGAGGAGGAGGAGGAGGAGGAGGAGGAGGAGGAGGAGGAGGAGGAGGAGGAGGAGGAGGAGGAGGAGGTGGGGAACTAGGACTGAGAGCGCCACATGGGCATTTTCTAAAGCAGGGCTGTGCAGGTGATGGGGGTGAGGAAGGGCGAAAGGATGTGTGGAAGAATGCTGTGCGATAATGGTGGGGCGAATGCTGGTGGTCGCCTGGGGTGGTAGCGATGGTGATGCAAGGGCAGCATGGGACGGGTAACTCACAGTGTACTCGCCGGCACGAGGCAGCGCGATGGAGAAGGAGGCAAAGCAGCGCGAGGGGTGGAAGTTGAAGAGGAAGAGCAGCGGTCCACGTGTGAAGCACACCACCTGGGCACAGATGGCAGGCAGAGAGGGCCAGAGAAGATGGTAAGTGCGCAGGAAATCACGGATCTCCTCACAAGGATCTCAAAAGTAACTCTGTATGCTGCGACACAGACTCGAACTGAAGAAGTGGGAGAAACTGAAAGCAGTTCACCTGCAATTGCAGCACCTCCCACCACTGCATCAACTCCCACCACCGCACCACCTCCCACCACCGCATCACCTCCCACCACCGCATCACCTGGTATCACCTGGCAGCACCGCATCTCACCCGGTGCTCCTCGCTGACATGGCGCATGTGAGGCTTCTCCAGCGCCAGCACTCCCTCCCTCTCGTCCAACGCCATCACCGCCTGCCATGCCATGCCATGCCATGCCATGCCATGCCATGCCATCACAATTTACACCGAAGCATAGACAATAGCATCACAAAGTCACATGTTATTATGCGAAGAGGAAGAAGCACAGCACAGTACATGTTACTGGACATGGCTTGAGGATGCGCTGAGGGCATGCACATGCACATACATGCCCGGCTAAGAACCAACATGTGAATGTAATGTAGCGACTCGTATGCACGACACATGTGCATGTGTAAGTGCAAGTGCGCGTGCACACATGTGCGCGCTTCAACAACACAGAGCATGCGCACAAGGGTGCACATTCATCGCACCATCTAGCCAGCATGCATGAGCAGAGTGAGCATTTGAGATGTAAGCACACAGGGGCAGGCAGTACCCTATCAAATGCAGCGATGTGTGCGAACGGGCTGCGGGCGTCCTCCTGCAGTTGCCAGCAGCACTGCGACGAGCCCTCATGCGGCCTTGATGTCAGATGCAGGCGCTGGGGGTGGGCGGAGAGAGGGGCAGAGAGGGAGAGGAAGAGGAGGAGAGGGCCATGCTGGTATGCTGGTGCTCCCAATGATGTAAACAAGGCAGGGATGAGAGGCGGGTGAGACCGTGAGAGGCAGGGATGAGGTCACTTGATAGGCAAGGAAAGAACGGAGCGGATGAAGGGACCCGAAGCAGGGAGCGCTGCGTAGTGAACTTAACATAGAGATGAACGCGGGGCTGAATGAATTCAACATTCCAAAGAAAACGCGAACGTTCATGAACATGCCACAAAAAAGGTCCGTGGTTTTGCGGAATGACATGCCATGCCATGCCATGCCATGCCACGCCACGTGAATGGATGGACGAGGGAGAATTAGGGTGACTGACATGTGGGTGGGCGAACTCATTTCCCATGAACGACATGTATGCATCCCCCGCTGCTGACAGCGTTATCAGCCGAATCAACTGCCATGGGGTTGGGGCAAAGAGGTGTGGAGAAGGGAGGAGGAGGAGAGAGAAATTGGGGAACGGATGAGGGAGGGCGGCAGGGCAGGGTGTGGGAGGAAAGCAGTAGCGAGAAGAGGGTTGCTGAAGTGGCAGGACGAATGCATGAGTTTTCCAGAGTTCTCTCAAACAGCATGCAGGTTGCAGTGAGAAAGAGGAGCAGAGCAGCAGAGGGAAGGGATGATGAGAGGTGGTACTTTGTAGAGAGCCACGCCGCGGTGCACTTGAGGTAGCTGATACCACGCTGCTGATGGTGCTGCTGCTGATGGTGCTGCTGCTGATGGTGCTGCTGCTGATGGTGCTGCTGCTGACAATGACAAGTGTGTGCCTGGTTGCCGCTCCTCTTCATCGGGCATGTATCGGCCGATCAGTGTGTGCGCTAGAGGGTCTCCCGCTACTGCCTGCTTGCCACCATGGGAGCAGGGGCGGGGGGGAGAGGGGAGGGGGAGGGAGGGAGGTCAATGAAAGGGGGCTTGAGCAGAACAGCAGAGGGAAAAGAATGAGGATTGAAGGATGGGCTGTAGAGAGTTAGCGGCATTGGATGGTTGCTCATGCGAGTTGACTTTGATGCTAGACGGAGCAGAAAAGAAAACGCTCTGTGTGAACAGATGCAAAATCCCACTTGCACATACATAACCCACATTCAAACGTGCACATGAAATCTTCCACATGTAAACATTCACGTGTAGCACGCACGCACATCTAAACATGCAGACACACACATGCAACCATCGCACCTGCAGGTGGCCCTCGGCGCACACAAGGGTGCGCTCCCCACAGCCCTGCTGCAGCAATGTGAGCATCATCTGTATGGCACACAGCGAGAGGGAAGGAAAGGCCAAGCGAGGGACAAGAAGGCAGTGTGAAGGAGAGGCAACTGTGTTGTGGCTGCTAAGAATTCTCAAAGCAGAGACAAAGTGCGTGGCTGCTAATGGACCGTCCATTACACAAACAGAATGAAATAAGCAAGAGGAGTGTTTTTTCGGCATTCTTTAGTGCCTGCCTCGCAGAGGGGGTGGGAGGTTTGGAAAGAAAGGGCAAAGCTGAGCGCTCTGAGCTAGCTAGACTGTCCCTGTCTGATTGGCAGCAGCAGGGGACCGCTGACACACACATGCAGAGATAAAGAGGCACAAGTGCAACGCTGCACTTGCATAACTGCTCTTATATAGGCGCAGATGCACGAATGCATGAACATACTCATCACCACGCCAAGGCAGTAACTGCCTCCCAACTACTCCAACGTTTGCCTGTGCACGCTCCCCCCTCTCCCCTCCCCAATTTTCTCCCTTGCCCCCCGCTTTTACCCTGCGCCTGTGCACCCCATACTGCCTTGCCATTGCTACGGTACGGCCCCACACATGTAGCCACAAACTGAGACACACTCACTCACTCACACAAAGCACTCACCCACCCCCACACCCACTCACTCACACACCCACTCACTCACACACCCACGCACGCACCTCCTCCATGCTCCACTCCTCCAAGTGCGTGTGCCCAGGCGTTGCCTCGCCCCCCTGCCACGCGTGGTGCAGCAGCCACGGCCACATCTCCATGGGCCCACCATTCAGCCGCAGGTCAAACCCCAGCCCGCCCTCATGCGTCCCCGCACACAACCCCGGGTATACTGTCGCCTGATAAAAGGCAACGCGCAGGGGGGGCGGGATGGGAGTGGGGTAAGAAATGGGAAAGGAGGTGGCGGGGGGCCGCAGATCGAACACCAGCCCGCCCTCGTGCGTCCTTGCGCACAACCTCGGGTAGGTACAGCGTCGCCTGAGAGCAGGCAGTGCAGTGGGAGAGTGGGAGGGGGGTGGGGTAAGGTGGGGAAGGGAGGAGGAGGGAGGGAGGGAAGGAGGAGGCGCTGAGGAGCAGTCGGAGAATGTGGAGCTTTGGGTGCGCTGTGGAGATTTGAGGAGGGTGAACAGGTGGGCGGTGCTTTGGTGGAGCCGTGTTTTGGGAGAGGGAGAGCCAGGCAAGAGGATACTCCCCTCTGGGCTGGCCTGGGGTGTGGGGAGACTGGCAGCAGGGGGGAGGGAGGCAGCGCGTGGAGAGGTTGAGTGAGCCTTGTTAGTCTTTCCTTGCACGCAACGCAAGCAGGGCTGCGCTGCGGGAGCAAGGCGGAAAGGCGGGGGAGTGGATGGGGAAGAGTGATGCATGAAGAAAGAGACAGCATTCGTGGCCTGCTGCTACCTTAGGCTTACGGGACTGTTGTGCCTTCTTGGAGAGCCCATGGTGGAGCTCCAGTGGGGGACGTCGGCTGCACTAGGCGTCGGGTATGCACTTTGAAGTTCCTAGTGTGTATTGCACTCACCTCCTTGCTGCATGTCTGTTCCTATCTGTACACCAATTGAGAGGGGAGTGATATGTGGTGATGAGGTTAAGCGAAGGAGTGTGAAGCAGTGGCGTACGTCATGGGCGATGGTGAGGAAGGCAGGGTTGAGTTGGTGCAGCATGTCGTTGGCCAGTACCAGGTATGCCAACGCATCCTCGTCCACTGCTGCTCCGAAGAACCTGGTGGGGGGGAGAGGAGAGGGGGAGAAGGAGTGGGTGAAGGGGAATGGGAGAGGAGAGCAAAGGGGTGAGGGGAGAGGGGGAGGGGAAGAGGAGGGGAAGGGGAGGGGAAGAGGAGGGGAAGGGACAGGAAGGGAGAGGAGGGGGGAAACGGTTCAGGCGGGTGGGATGAGGTCTTTGTATTCACACCATGCGGTAAGATTAAAGTGCATGCATGTCGGCGCATGTGCTGCGAAGTTGCGGCCTGAACATGGCATGGATACAAGCATGAGCATGACATGCATGCGCACATGCGTGGTTGTGCGTGAGCGTGAGTGTGCGAGCGACTCACTCCTCCACCCCGCGTTCGAAGTGAGAGTATCCATTGTGGAAGTAGACCATGGCTGGCAGCGCGTGGAATAGCATGCCGTCCAACCGATACTCCTCCGCCCACCTGATGCCCACACTCACGTGCAATCATGCATGCACACACATGCATACATACATCCACACCGATGCACGCACACATGCACATGCACATGCACATGCACATGCGCATGCACAGACATGAACACACATACACACACACATGCACGCACACATGCACACGCACATGCACACGCACATGCACGCACACATGCATACATATGCACGCACACATGCACGCACACATGCACGCACACATGCACGCACACATGCACGCACACATGCACGCCCACATGCACACACACAGCAAGCACACACATGCATGCACAGAAACATGTAAAAGAGCATGTGGCAAGTTTTGCCACAGGACCCTTCTGCACAGACATACGGGCACAGAGGCGAGGTGGCATGTGCGGGGCATGAAGAGGACCAACTCTTGTCCTCAATCCTCATATACAGTGGTCAATGAGCCCCCTCAATGTACCTGCCATGCTGCTGCACCCACCTGGGTTTACCTCCATCCATCCCCGTATGTGCTCAACACATGCAACTGCACTCAACATAATCAGCATCGACAGAACACCATGCTCCCAACAAACTCTCCCAGTGCTGTCCTCTCCTCTCTTCTGCATGCTCTCCCTTCATCCACTCCCCCACTCCACCCCTTCTGATTCCTACACGCCCACAAATCCGCATTCAACCATTCAAGCATCCTTCAGCCATTATCTCCCTCCCCCCCCTTGCGATCCTTTCCCTTGCCTACCTAGTTATAATCCCAATGCCTCCACCCTCCTACTGCTTTGCAACCCCCACCCGCCTCGCGCTCTGCACCCTGCGAGTGCATACCAGCGCAGGTTGGAGAGCAGGTAGCGCTTGACCTCGTAGTTGCTGAAGTCAGGGATGCGCGTGCCCACCCGCTTGTGGTACCCGCGCTTGCCTGCCATGCACACACGTGGCACGGGCAGAGGGGTGCAGCGAGCAGGAAAGGGAGACAAGAGGGTGGGGGACACCACCGGGGAGGGGGGGGGGGTGAGGTGAGGCAATGAACAGGTTGATGAGGTGGGCGTATGATTTGACACTTGAGGGGAGGTGCCGCAGCAGCACCTTGCTATGCAAGGTACAAGTGTGGAGGGTGTGGGACAGTAGTAGAATGCATGGGTTTGCCAAGGGGAAGCGCGGCGGATCCAGCCCATGCGAGAAGCGGTGGAACGTGGGGAGCATGGGAGAGGCATTACAAGAGGACGAGTGGGCTGTGGCATAGAGGAGCCCCCGGCAGACACCAGTACACACACACACACACACAAACACACACACACACACACACACACACACACACACACACGAGCAACCGGACAACACGCGTGCCATGTGCGGTCGGTGCCTCACACATGCTGGGCATAGATTGAACAGCAGGGCAGGGCAGAGTGCACGGCACATGCCTGGGCGGATGAAGGAGTTGGCTTGGCCGTCGAAGTTGAGCAGACCAAAGGCCTCGTACGACCCGACCTGGGAGTGCACCACGCTCATCATCACCAGCAGCCCCATGCCTGCCAGGGGTGTGCGTGGGGGTGGGGAGAAGGAAAATGGGGTGAATGGGGGGCGGGGGGTGTGTTGGGGGTTGCGGCACGTGTGGAAGAGACAGTGGGGAAGAGACAGTGGGGAAGAGCGAGCGAGGGTGGGCAGAATTTCCAAAGCGATGTGCGAGTGAGTGAAGCACATGAATGCTTTATGAGCACTACTGAGCCCATGCTGGTTGGGTTAGGGTCACAAGGAAAGGGGACAGCAGCGGCAGGGCACATACTCAGAGTGCATCCCTGCTCCACTCCACCACCATCCCCTCATCATCACACCACACCTGCTGCCTCACCATGCACACCCACCCCACTCCCTCACCATGTGCCGTGTCGACGAGTCGTTTAAAAGCATCAGGGGAGCCAAAGCGACTGCTCACTGCAAAGGGGCTCGACACCTGCGTTGCAGAACGGGGCACTCAAGGAGCCAGGCGGGGAGAAAGGGGTGGGGGGGAGAGGAGATAAAGATGAATGAACGCATGTGGTAGTACAAGGGGGATCATGCCAAGCAGCAGAGCAGATGTTGTGGCACGAGACAGAGTGCAAGCAGCACATCAGAGCACACACACACAGTGCTCCTTCTCCTCCTGCTAATCAACACCATCTGTCTTCCCTCCCCATCCTCCACGTCTCGCGCCCCTTTCTCCCAACACCCACACTACTTCCGTGTAACCACTCTGCTAAAAACACACTGCCCCTCACTGCCCCACGTGCCACCTCGTCCATGGGCCCCCTTGGCACGCACCTTCATTCCTTCATCCACCTTGCCATCCTTGCACATCAACTTGTTCCACCTTGCCCCCCACCCCTCACACCCCCCTCACCCCTCGCAACCCGCTAGCGCCTCCTGCCCACGCGCACCTTGAGGCCCAGCGAGGCATAGTCGGGGTGCTCCATGATGCCCAGCAGCAGCAGCAGCAGCCGCACCAAGTTGCCCCGTGCCCCTCGCCCTGTGCATCAAGTTCTTATACCTTGCCCCTCACCCCTCGGCCCTTGCGCGCAGCGCACCTTGAGGCCCAGCGAGGCATAGTCGGGGTGCTCCATGATGCCCAGCAGCAGCACCGCGTTGTACCCCGCCGCCTTGATGCGCGGCAGCACCTGCAGGGGCGCGGACCAGGGGGAGAAAGGCAGAGAGAGAGATGTGTGGGGACAGGGTTAGCGAGCGGCAGGGTAGTGTGGTGTGATGTGGGGAGGGGGGGAGCAAGAATTCCGTGCTCATGGGGGACTTTGTGCAGGAGAAATTGTGAACCGTTTATTCCATGGCCTCTATGCCTGTCCCACGCCCCATGCCCCATGCCCCATCCCCCATCCCCCATGCCCCATGCCCCATACCCAATAACCCATGAGCTACAACCCATGCACCATCCACCATAACCCACGCCCATCCATCCACCATGCCCCATGGCCCATGCCTCATGCACCATCCATCCACGGTGCACCCCTCAGGCCTACCGCATCAGTGAACTCATCAAAGCTCGTCACCTCCCGGCTTCCTCCACGCCACTCCACGCGCTCCCCTTCGCCTCCTTCCGCCCTGCCCTCCTCCCCTTCCCTCCTCTCCCCACCCACCACAACCCTCTCCTCGTCGCCCGCTCCCTGCGCCCTGCCTGCCTTACCCCCGCTGCTGCCCACGTGAGCCTCGTACACGCGTAGGGTGCGAGGGCGAGGGGGGGCTGTGTGCTGCCACTGGTGCCGCTCGCCCAGAGGTGGGTCCCACACCACCCCACTCCACCTCCGCCCCTCCCTGTCCTCTGCATGGCATTGGAGGCAAGGAGGCGCATGATGCGCACATGATGAGAAAATGATGCGCACATGATGAGAAAATGATGCGCACATGATGAGAACATGATGCGCAAATGATGAGAACATGATGCAATCAGCAGTATGATGCACAAGAAACACCCATCTGGATTCTAATTCAAGCAATTAGTACATCACACATGTGGCGATCCAGCGCATGAGCACAGTACCCAGCAACATCACACCTGCAGCCACACACACACCACAGACCCCTCACTCTAACCTCACCCCAACCACCCACACAGACACACACCACAAATCACCAACCGACAACACCCCTCACATCCATCCCCCACCCCACCTGGAGCAACAAACGTGGCCCACGCGGACACGCGCTGCAGCACGCCCTGAGCCGTGCTCAGCTGCACCCTCCACCGGTCCCCATGCCTCACTGCCGCTTCATACTTCCTCGCCCATGCCGCACGCCCCTTCCTCTCCGCCAGCCAGTACGGGTACGGCAACTGCTTGTTCTCCACGTATGCTGCCCATGCGGGGTCTTTAAGCAGCTGCCAGTCGCCCACACCCACGCCCTCGCTGCCTGTGTACGGCACTGCGATGGGCGGTAGCTTGCTTGACTTGCCGGATCTGCTGCTGCCTGCGCTGGATGCCTTTGAATGCTGCCTGCGTGTGGGTTTCTGTGCTGCTTGCCCCTCTGTCTGCCCGTCTTCCTGCTCCTCCTCCCGCTGTTGTGCTTCAGTCAAGTGCATCGGCCCGTTCACCCACCCCTTGTACGCCCCTGTCTCCCTCACCTTCGCAACCCATTCCTTGCCCTGCACATGCTGCTTACTCCCTTCCCCTCCCCCCTCCCCCCCACCACCGCCACCACCATCACCACCTAACCCCTCTCTCAACCCCCCTTCCTCCCCCTCCTCCAATCCCCCATCCTCTCCCTCAACCGCACTCCCTCCACCCCCCTCCTCCGCCTCCTCCTCCTCGAAATCAGGATCCACATACTCATGCATCAGATGGTCCTCGCCCTCCTCCCAGTACCTGTCCTGAGCGGCCCTATACAGCCCCTCCCAGTCCAGGTCCCTATCACCACTGTCCGTCTCCACATCATAGTTGTACTCCTGTCCGAACGGGTCTGCCTGCTGCCCTGCGCGCAGGCGGTCCTGCAGCACCACGCGGTGCACGCCCAGCTCGTCGCACCCTGCTGGGCCTTTCTCTGACACGGCTTCTGTACCATCCCAGTTGTTGAACGAGCCTACCAGCGCACAGCGCGTTGCGCCTGTTGTGCGGGTGGGGAAGAGATGGAGCAGAGTGGGTGAAGGGGAGGGGTTGGTGGGCTTGAGGGATAACAGTGGTATGACGGGGGTTAGAAGTTTCAGGGTTTAGGGTTCAGGCACCATTGTGGGTTTCGTAGAACAAGGGCGCATAGGGTGATGAGGCCTGAGAGAAGTGGCACTGAATTCTCCTGTGCAGCATGATGCCATGACTTGCCATCACATGGCATGACATAGCATAGTGTGGTGACAATGACACATGGCTTGGTGGCATGGCATGAAATGGCATGGCATGGCATGGCACGGCACGGCATGGCATGGCATGGCATGGCATGGCACGGCATGGCATGGCATGGCACGGCATGGCATGGCATGGCACGGCATGGCATGGCATGGCATGGCATGGCATGGCATGGCATGGCACCTGGCGCCCATTCATAGAGCTCGATGCAGTGCCACGGATGGCGGTGCAGCCCCATCATCTTGTGCCTGCACCCACCAGGGGAGACGGGGTTCAGCGGCAGCCAACAGGTGGCAGAGTAGGACACAGCAAGAGAAAAAATCGAGTCAACATGCGGTAGCAGGTAAGGGAGGGCGGGAAAAAAAGGCGAGCGCGACGAGGCGGTCACAGGGAGAGAGCTCAAGAACATTGACGGCACAGCAGTAGGCGCCAAAGCAGTTTAAGCCGTTTAAGCAGTTTAAGCCAGAGTTGTTGACTTGACGCACGCGTTGGCGAGTTCGAGCAGGTCCTCGTCCTCCTCGTCGATGTACTGCCGCAGGTCCTTGAGTCGCTTGTACCGCGCGCGCAGCTCGCCCTCAAACGCCTTCAGCGACGGGTCGCTCGCCACGATCCCCACCGGGTCGATCCGCGCCTTGCCCTTCTTCCCCCTGCCCTCGCGCCCTGCGCCGCCACTGCCGCCTGTGCTCCCGCGAGCATGACCGCCGCCGCCACTGCTGGTGAGCGGCTTTTCTGGCGGTTCATCGGGAGTTTTTGAAGGGGATTTGCCTCCCGCAGTTGTGCTGCCTCGCTCCGCCCGTTCAGATGCTGTTGGGAGTGGGAAGGGAGAAGAACGAGGAGAGTGGCAACGAGGGTGCGGTGCACAGCAAGAGGACGACGAAAGGAAGGAGAAAAGGGATGCGGGGGCATGCAGCGGCAGTGCTGGTGAGCTGTTAGTACCTACCTCCTCGATCTTCCGATCTGCTCTGCTCTTCGATTGGTTGAGCCGGTCCTGAAACCCCACCCTCTCGCAACAACTCTGCTCGGCGCGCTGCTTCTCCGCTGTCAGTTGCGGATGATGCTGCTGCGGCTGCTGCATCCCTGCCTCCTCTGTCCGACAATCCCGCGTCACCAATTCTAGGTTTCTTCCCACCTGCGCTTGAGCCGACTATATGCTGTGTCCGGTTGCCCCCTACTTCGCTGCTGCCTTCGGGACCTTTTGCACCGTCGATCCGAGCTGCTCGATGAACGACACGTGTCACTCGAGTGGCTACCTGAACGCTGACAGAATCTCTCAAGGTGGAGGTGGGGTACCGGGGAAGGAAAAGCGGAACGCAAGCACCGTGTGGGCGCAAAAGGCCAGCCATCGCGGATTGCAGCACAGCGAGTGAAAGAACCAAAAGTGGGTACGATGACCCGATTAGCGCGCTGGGATCGACTCTTGCAAACACCGTTTTCACGATCGACCCAAGAGCTTGAAGGTTTGGCTTCGTCGCATCGCAACCATAGCACGATATCAAATTGCACAAAAGGCGCAAATCTCCTCGTTTGCAGTTGCGCACACAAGCTTCGTGTCGGCCATGCCCCACTTGGGGCTCAATGCAGAAAAAATCCGCGTTAACGTGCCAGTTCGCTGAGGGAGTTTTGATCTGTACTCACCAGAAAGAATGAGCTGGAATATGCTATCAACTAGGATGTACCCGTATCCTAGTACCTCACAAAAATTAGGTACAGTTCCTAGACCATTATGAAAATATATAAACGATTTAATAGCAGCAGATTCGGTCACTACCAAGGGTTTTTTAAGGGGGGGATGGATATATGCCAGGCCCTCAGATTCGTTTTTTGCCTGTCTGATTCATCAGACTAGTACAAAATTGTAGTGTGAAACCCTCAGAGACGGTATAAAAAAAAAAAAACTGAAATTTCAGAGTGCCTTAGAAAAAGAGTCTTAAACATCAATGTATCTAATGTTTCATCAGAAATGTATTCAATGTTTCATCTGATATCGAAACATGCTAGAGTAGGGGGATTTTCGGGAGAACATGCTCTGACAGGGCGAATTTCTGTGTCAGGGCGAATTTTGTAGTGTGAACGGGCGAATCTGCAATGTCAGGTGAAATTTCAAGGTGATTGGTCGATTTTTTTGTGCTCTGACGGCGCAAATCTGTTGTGTGAGGGCGATTTTGATGTGATTGGGTGAAAATTCTGTGATGTAAGGCGCAGATTTGCTGTTTCAAGCCGATTTTGCGTTGACTTTGCGAATCGGGAAATGATCAGACTGGGGCACCGAAGTTCTAGGAATAGAGCCAACTTGGGGCCTCGTGTGTCGCGATGTGTCGAACCTGGTCCGGACCTGTCTCAAACCAATTTCGGGCCTCACCCACGCGCTCCGTCAGACCTGACCACACAAGGTGACGGATTTCTAAACGGACAAGTTGGCAAAAATTATAAACCCCATACGGGCATGCATCCGGTCAGGGAGGCATCAACCCTAAACACCTTGTCGCATGTTTTTAGGGTTGATGCCTCCCCAATTTTTTGCCATCCTATTGGGTTTTATTTTTTTAACCACTGCGATAATATTTTTGGGCTGAAATGTTTCTTTCTGGGTTATTTCTCTGAAGTATCTGTACTGCCCATTGTGAATGGGCTGACGATCACTGCTCCCGTGAACCAGGGTGCTAGCGAAATCCGTCAAGGCCAAGCCAGCAGGTGGTGACCTGGCGAGTGTTAAGATAGTAGCTAAGGCTAAGAAGCCATAGCTCAGTTTTAGGGTATATGAAAGAGAAATAGGAGAAGAAGTGATTGAACTAGAAAGGAGGGGGATACAAGTAGCAAGCCCAAAAGGGTTATACTCACTTTTGAGTACCCCACTACAGACTAGACAAGCATTATAATCTGACATACCCCCATAGTCAAAGTGGGGTATAATCAGTACAGCATGCAGGCATAGAGCAAGAGTTCACAATGATAAGCAAAGCTAGAGGCTATCACAGAGGGCAAGTGAGGAGGAGGAGAGACTGTGGATGGAGAGAAGATGCGAGGCAACGACTGAAGCTGCAGAGGCACGGGCACAGGAGCGGCTGACTCAGTGGCTACCGAAGCAAGGGCGACGGATTACTGGAGTGACTGGCTCCGCGGCTATAGACGAGCGGCAGGAGCAACGGACCCACTGGCGACTGGTGCAACAGGCTCACTGGCTACCGAAGCAAGGGCGACGGACTACAGGCGCTGCAGGCGACACGACAGCTACCTTCACACAACCTCCCCCAGCTGCCCCACTCCCCTCTCACACACCCCCTGTTCAAACCCTAGCTCCACTCCCACAGCACCCCCCTTAAACCCTAAACCCTAGGCTCCCACACACCCACCCCCCTCAGCGACAGCTGCAGCAGTGGGAGACGAGGGAGGAGGAGGAGCAAGGGGAGGAACACATAACCGCCACCCCCACACCCGCCACCCCCATGCTCGGCACCCCACACCCCCAGCACCACGGAATGCACGGGGGGGGGGGGGGGGAGGGGAAACGGTACGGGCTACAGGTGCGGGCTGCTCCAGGGGCGGCCGCTGCAGGTGCGGGCTGCTCCAGGGGCGGCTGCTGCAGGTGCAGGCTGCTCCAGGGGTGGCTGCTGCAGTGGCGGGCTGCTCCAGGTGAAAGGTAGGAGGGAGGGTTGCACCAGGGGCGGCCGCTCCAGGGGCCAGGGTCGGCTGCTCTGGGTCCAGGGGCGGCTGCACCAGGGGCGGCTACTCTGGGTCCAGGGGCGGCTGCTCCAGGGGCAGCGTCCAGGGGCGGCTGCAACAGGGGCGGCTGCACCAGGGGCGGCTGCTCTAGGGGCCAGGGGCGGCTGCAGAGGTCCAGGGGCGGTTGCAAAAGGGGCGGCTGCTCCAGGGGCCAGGGGCGGCTGCTCTGGGTCCAGGGGCGGCTGCTCTGGGTCCAGGGGCGGCTGCTCCAGGGGCGGCGTCCAGGGGCGACTGCTTTGCAGCCGCGCGCGCAGGTGAGGCAGAGGCGGCGGCCAGGGGGGGGGGCGCCTCGACGAGCAGGGACGGCGCCCAGGGGGCGCCGCGACGAGCAGGGGCGACGCCCCAGGGGCGCCGCGACGAGCAGGGGCGGCGTCCAGGGGGGCGCCGCGACGAGGAGTGGCGACGCCTCGCGGGTCCCGCAGGGGCGTCGCGACGAGCAGGGCGACGCCATGTGGGTCCCGCAGGGGCGTCGCGACGAGCAGGAGCGGCGACGCACGGGTCCCGCAGGGGCGTCGCGACGAGCAGGAGCGGCTCCTCGCAGGGCGCCGCGAAGGGCAGGGTACGGGCGGGCAGAACAGGTCCGCGCGCGGACGCCGGGCAGGTGCACAGGCGACGTGAGGGCAGGCCGCGCGCGGGGCAGGAAGACGACGGGACGAGGTGACGGGAGGGGCCGGCGCGCGGGTCCCCAAGGCGCCGCGACGAGGCGACGGGAGGGGCCGGCTCGCGGGCCCCCAAAGCGCCGCGACGAGGCGACGGGAGAGGCCTGCGTGCGGGCCCCCAAAACGCCGCGACGAGGCGACGGTCGGGGCCGGCGCGCGGGCCCCCAAGGCGCCGCGACGAGGTGACGGGAGGGGCCGGCGCGCGGGCCCGCAGGGCACCGCACGAAGCAGGAACCCGCCGCGCGCCTCGGGGCGCACGGCGGGCAGAAAACCGCCACGCGCTCGGAGCGCGTGGCGGGAAGAAAAATAGGAGGTCGCGCGCCACGGGGCGCGCGACACACAGTAGGGCAGCGGAAGCAGGTGGGCCCACAGGCCAGGAGCGTAATGCTCTGATACCATGTTAAGATAGTAGCTAAGGCTAAGAAGCCATAGCTCAGTTTTAGGGTATATGAAAGAGAAATAGGAGAAGAAGTGATTGAACTAGAAAGTGTTGGAAACAATCGGTCATAAGCGCCTCTGTCGTGTCGAAACACTAAGACACAAAAGAAACGAAGTATAACGAATCACCGGCGAGTCAACCCTCGGAGGTTGAAAGTAACTGTTGGAGGTTACGCGAAAGTCAAAGGTCAGCGACCTTTGACCTGACAAAGTACAGCGCGACAGCAAGGACAAACAACTGACTCGGTATTGAGCAGTTGCCCGAGTCGTCACTGTATCGAACCGCAACAGCAATAGTAAAACGGTTATTAACTGTATCTCTTCGTATTCCTTGTACTCTTATAAAAGCTTGTATCTCTTTGTTTTAATCAACTTACTTTGCCCTCACATACTAGCGCAAGGTGGTTCACAACTCTTTAATTAACGCTTCCGCTACTACACCAACTCTATCCAGAGTTCACCCCTGCAAAGATCCTAAGGATTTTCTCAGCCCAACAGAAAGGAGGGGGATACAAGTAGCAAGCCCAAAAGGGTTATACTCACTTTTGAGTACCCCACTACAGACTAGACAAGCATTATAATCTGACAGCGAGCTCGGCCTAGATGCCTAGGCTTGTGCGTTGCTTCGGGCCTTCTTCGTAGGGTCGCAAATCACGAGGCCCCAAGTTGGCCATCTTTCTGCTAATCCGAGGCCCCAATATGATCATTCCCCTTGCGAATCTGCTGTGATCCGTGAAGTCCGAACCGAATCACCAGTCAAGAACGCAAGCAGAAAACGGAATCGGTACGCGTTTGTACTCTGAGTGATCAGAGTACACTCCCGGAAAACTCTGAAACGTGAGAGTTAGCTTTAAAATTTCTCTGAAAATTACAGAGTTGGGGCCCTAAAATCTCTGATTTTAAAACCCGCAGCCTGAATTACAAAAAAAGTTGGGAGGTGTTAACACTTTCCCTCCCGAACCAGGGTGGTTACCAGTTGTGCACGGGCAAAACGCGATGAAGTCGCAGGCAGCTCACGGAAGTGTCGCTCGGTTCCTGCGCAACCACTCTGACCTTGGTGTGCACACCAAACTGGAAACCTGTAATTCAGGTTGATAAAAACTGCCTAGTCCGATCAGCACCAGCGGCAGCCATAGCTTAGAACAGCCCCAGGCTCCAACCTCATTCCAGCCCCAGGCCTCATAGACCCGCCTTACTCGTTAGGACTAATACTCCATTCCTTAGGTGCCAGAGATATAACTTTCTGTCCGCGTTTCTAAGGTGAATCGCCCTACTTCGTCGCATTCGCTTCTTCTCCCCGTAGTCCACACTCCGTCCCCTTCCGTCCCACACACGCACTCCCCTCCCGTCTCCTTCGCGCTCGCTCCATTGTCGCACACGCGCGCTCTGTTTTCTCGCGGATTACAATTCCCTCCCGTCGCCCACGCGGGAGCGCCGAGACCGATCACGCATACTCCCTTCCGTCACCCACGCTCACTTCGTTACCGCCGCAGACGCGCAATCTCTTCCGTCGCCCCCGCGCACTCCGTCAGTTACCTCGGCCCACGCGCACTCCCTTCCGTTGCCCACTCTCAAGACCTTCCCGTCGCCCACGCTCACACCCTTCCCATCGCCTACGCGCAATCGTTCCGTCGCCCACTCTCAATCACTTCCCTCGCCCACGCTCGCTCCCTTCCCGTCGCCCACACTCCCTTTCCATCGCCTTCGCGCAATCCTTACATCGCACACGCTCACCCCCGCTCGTCGCACACGGCCAATTCCCTCTCGTCGCACGCTGCCGCCCGCGCCGCACTCTCCCTTTCAATCTCCTCCCGCCGTCCACGCTCACTCCACTGCCGTCACACACGCACGCACCCTCCCCTCGACGGAGAGGGGGTGCTCCGCTTCCCTCGCATATGCGTTCATCTCCCCATCCCTCATCTCCCCATCCCTCATCTCCCCGTCCCTCATCTCCCCGTCCCTCATCTCCCCGTCCCTCATCTCCCCGTCCCTCATCTCCCCATCCCTCACCCCCCCATCCCTCATCTCCCCATCCCTCACCTCTCCGGTCTTCCTCTCCCTCTCCCCTCTCCTCTCCCTCCTCCCTTTCCACTCGCCCCGCCACTCCCGCCGTGCTTCTCCCTCCCCCCATTCCGCCTCGCCCCATTCCGCCCCACCCCATTCCGCCCCATCCCATTCCGCCTGACCTCATTCCGCCCCACCCCATTCCGCCTCACCCCATTCCTCCTCTCCCCATCCCCTCCTCATTTTACCCCCTCTTCTCCCCTTCCCCACCTCATCCCATCTCCTCCTCTTTCCGTCCACCCCTCCTCACCCCATCTCCTCCTCTTTCCATCCAGGCATCCTCACCCCATTCCGCCTCACCCCATTCCGCCTCCCGTCCTCTCCCCATCCCCTCCTCTTACTATCCCTCCTCTCCCTGTCTCTCCTCTCCCCATCCCTCCTCTTATTATCCCTCCTCTTACCATCCCTCCTCTTACCATCCCTCCTCTCCCCATCCCTCCTCTCCCTATTTGTCCTCTCCCCATCCGTCCTCTGTTCGTTCCTTCCTCCCTACATCCCTTCCTGTTTGCTCCGCACTTCACCTCCCCCTCCCCTCCCCCAATCGCTCTGCGCGGTCTCATTGCAGGGACTCCTCGCAGGGAAAGAAGGGGAAAGGGAGGAAAGTGCACCCATGCTACGTCTATCCCCTCACCCCGCCCTGTCCTATCCCCTCACCCCGCCCTGTCCTATCCCCTCCCCTCCCCCTCCCGTCCTCTCCCCATCCCCTCCTCTTCCAAACCCATCCCTCCTCATCACATCTCTCCTCTTTCCATCCATCCTCTCCCCATCCCTCCTCTCCCCATCCGTCTTGTCCCCATCCCCTCCTCTCCCCCTCCGCTCCAGGTGTTTCCTCCCATCATCACTTCCTCCCATCACCACTTCCTCCCATCACCACTTCCTCCCATCATCACTTCCTCCCATCACCACTTCGTCCCATCATCACTTCCTCCCATCATCACTTCCTCCCATCACCACTTCCTCCCATCATCACTTCCTCCCATCATCACTTCCTCCCATCACCACTTCCTCCCATCACCACTTCCTCCCATCACCACTTCCTCCCATCATCACTTCCTCCCATCACCACTTCCTCCCATCATCACTTCCTCCCAAGCAAAGCATAGACTAGCTGCGCCTCAGCTTGCTCCTCTGCTTCACCACTGAAAAATAGGGGAGATTGGAGTAGGCAGAAAGATTCGTGTGAAGAAACATGGGGGAGGTGGTGTGAGGTGCAAGGGAACAACGGCAGGGGAATACACACAAGCACACATAATGAAAGCATGTATGGGGAGACACTAATGGGTGCACATGCATGGGTATTAGAGGGCGGAAGGTGAGGAGTGAGGGGGAAGGGTAGGGCATGAAAAGGAAGGGAAGGGTTGTGAACGGCTGGGGGAGGGAAGGGCGGAGCAGGGAGGAAAAGGCAGGGATGGGGAGGGCACGTGGGAACAGGGCAGAGGGTGCAGGAGAGTGAGAGTGCGAGAGGACGGAGGGAGAGAGTGCAGGAGGAAGGAGAGTGGGGGAAGGAGGGTGGGAGGAAAAGGCAGGGATGGGGGTTCCTAGGAGGGAACAGGGCAGAGGGTGGGGGAAGGAGAGTGAGAGTGCGAGAGGATGGAGGAAGCAGGGAAGGGGATGGGGGGAAGCAGGGAAGGGGATGGGGGGAAGCAGGGAAGGGGATGGGGGGAAGCAGGGAAGGCAATGGGGGGAAGCAGGGAAGGGGATGGGGGGAAGCAGGGAAGGGGATGGGGGGAAGCAGGGAAGGGGATGGGGGGAAGCACGGAAGGGGACGGGGGGAAGCACGGAAGGGGATGGGGGGAAGCACGGAAGGGGATGGGGGGAAGCACGGAAGGGGATGGGGGGAAGCACAGAAGGGGATGAGGGGAAGCATGGAAGGGGATGGGGGGAAGCACGGAAGGGGATGGGGGGAAGCACGGAAGGGGATTGGGGGAAGCACGGAAGGGGATGGGGGGAAGCACGGAAGGGGATGGGGGGAAGCACGGAAGGGGATGGGGGGAAGCACGGAAGGGGATGGGGGGAAGCACGGAAGGGGATGGGGGGAAGCACGGAAGGGGATGGGGGGAAGCACGGAAGGGGATGGGGGGATGCAGGGAAGAGGACGTGGGGAGCGAGGGAGATGCCGGGGAGAGAGCTGGGGGGAGGACGGTGGGGAGCAGGGCGATTGATGGGGGGAAAAGGGAGAGATGTATGCAGTGTGGGGGTGAAAGGCGATTATTCGGGAGTGGGAAGGGTGCATGTGCAGGTGGGAAAGGGGGCGTGACAAGTGTGCGAGATGAGAAGGGAGAAGGGAGGGATGGCAAGGACAACGAGGAGTGGATGGGAGGGCGACGGGGAAAGAGAGGGCGACGGGGGGAGAGAGAGACGGGGATTGCGAGGGGACGAGCGGGAAGGAGGGCGACGAGCGACAGAGAGGCGACGAGACGAAGGGGGGCAACGGGGGGAAGGGAGCGCGACGAGGGAAAAGAAGGGCGGCAGGCGGACGGGAAGGCAACGGGAGGAAGGGAGGGCGACGAGACGAAGGGAGGGCGACGAGACGAAGGGAGGGCGATGGGCGGAAGGAAGCGCGACGAGGGGAAGGAAGGGCGGCGGGCGGAAAGGAGGGCGACGGGTGGAAGGGAGGGTGACGGGCGGAAGGGAGGGTGACGGGCGGTGACGGGCGGAAGCGAGGGCGACGGGCGGGGAAGCGGCGAGGGCGACAGGCGAGGCGAGGGTAGTAGGCGGGGGAAGCGAGAGCGACGGGCGGGGGAAGCGAGAGCGACGGGCGAGGGAACCGACCTCGACGGGCGGTTTGGCGGCGAGGCGGCGAGGCGGCGAGGGCGACGGGCGGGATGAGGGCAGTGGACGGAGAAAGCAAGGGCGACGGGCGAGGGTCGCGAGGTAGGCAAAGCGCTCTCTCATCTCCTCACGCCCATTTTCTCCGTGCTTCGATTGCGTATACAAGCTGCACCTACTAATTCCGGTTGTCTAAATGCCGCTCACTCTAAAACCCTAGCTGGTGTGCGATGGTCGGATATTAATAGCGAGTGAATGAGTATGTTAGCTTTTTCTGTCGCACCAGTTTTTTTATGCTGTTCTTTCCCTCTAGGGTTCGTATGCGGGTTGCCTGCGAACTGTTTGCCTCACGGGAGAGTCGCATCAGGTTTCGCTAACCTGCCACCTTTCGCAATTCCTCCGCACCTCATTTTGCCCGAACCCCGGACCTACCAAACCAAGCGTTGACTCAGTTTTTGTCATTCAGGTGGCGGGTTTTAAAGCCCAAGACCTGAATTACTCAACGGAAGTCAACTGAGTATTTCTAGGTTCGGCGGGCTGCCAGTTGGAGGTTCGGATGGGTTGAGTGACAGGCGAAGCCTCAAAAACACTTTGCGACTGAAAGTAGTTCGCCACAAACTCCCTACATGCTGATTGGTTGTAAAAAGCAGGCAGGGCCCTTCTTCCCAAACTCGACAAACCTGAGAAGCAACGTGCCAGGGAAACTATACACAGTTTGAGCAGCCACACATGCACTCGAACAAACATATTAGTTGCTTAGTCCACTTCAGCAGGGCGCCACCTTAGATTCTAGAAATACGCGGAATAGCCGTAGGGAGCGAATGTCCGTGTGGACTGGACCAGCAAAGTGCGATGCTTAGGGTGAGGATAGAGGAGGCTGTTACTAAATGCCAGTGCGGGCGTGAGTTAGCGAGACACATTGAGGCCTGAACTGGCGATTTATTCAGAGAGTCTAAAAGTATAGGCTAATACACAAACACTCGACCACGCTCGCTTCCCATAGGTCACAGCTTGCCTCCCGCCCTGCCCGGGAAATCCCCTCCCCGCCATTTGGTCGCGCCTGCCTTTCACATATCGCATGGTGAGAAGCTTCCCGTCGCCCTCATTCCATCTTCCCGTCGCCCTCATTCCATCTTCCCGTCGCCCTCATTCCATCTTCCCGTCGCCCTCATTCCATCTTCCCGTCGCCCTCATTCCATCTTCCCGTCGCCCTCATTCCATCTTCCCGTCGCCCTCATTCCATCTTCCTGTCGCCCTCATTCCATCTTCCCCTCGCCCTCATTCCATCTTCCCGTCGCCCTCATTCCATCTTCCCGTCGCCCTCATTCCATCTTCCCGTCGCCCACATTCCATCTTCCCGTCGCCCTCATTCCATCTTCCCGTCGCCCACATTCCATCTTCCCGTCGCCCTCATTCCATCTTCCCGTCGCCCACATTCCATCTTCCCGTCGCCCTCATTCCATCTTCCCGTCGCCCTCATTCCATCTTCCAGTCGCCCTCATTCCATCTTCCCGTCGCCCTCATTCCATCTTCCCGTCGCCCTCATTCCATCTTCCCGTCGCCCTCATTCCATCTTCCCGTCGCCCTCATTCCATCTTCCCGTCGCCCTCATTCCATCTTCCCGTCGCCCTCATTTCCCGTCCCGTCGCCCTCGTTTCCCTTCCCGTCGCCCTCATTTCCCTTCCCGACGCCCCCATTTCCCTTCCCGTCGCCCTCAATTCCCTTCCCGTCGCACTCATTTCCCGACCCGGCGCACTTATTTCCCTTCCCGTCGCCCTCATTTCCCGTCCCGTCGCCCTCATTTCCCTTCCCGTCGCACTCATTTCCCTTCCCGTCGCCCTCATTTCCCTTCCCGTCACCCCCCATTACCCTTCCCGTCGCAAACATTACCCTTCCCGTCGCCCTCATTTCCCTTCCCGTCGCACTCATTTCCCTCGAGTCCTCCCTCCCCCTCATCCGCCCTTCCTCCACCTCTCCATCCTCTCATCCTCCCTTCATCTCATCCTCCCTTCCTCTTATCCGCCCTTCCTCTCATCCTCCTTTCCTCTCATCCACCCTTCCTCTCATCCTCCCTTCTCTCATCCTGTCTCCCTCTCATCCTCTCTCCCTCTCATCCGCCCTGCGTCTCGACCTTCCTTCCTCTCGTCCTCCCTCCCCGTCTTCCGCCCTCCCCCTCATCCGCCCTCCCTCTCATCCTCCCTTCATCTCATCCTCCCTTCCTCTTATCCGCCCTTCCTCTCATCCTCCTTTCCTCTCATCCTCCCGCCCTCTCATCCGCCCTTCTCTCATCCTCTCGCCCTCTCATCCGCCCTCCCTCTCATCCTCCCTTCATCTCATCCTCCCTTCATCTCATCCACCCATACTCTCATCCTCCCTTCCTCTCATCCTCCCTTCCTCTCATCCTCCTCTCCTCTCATCCTACCCTTCCTCACATCCTCTCTTCCTCTCATCCTCCCTTCCTCTCATCCGCCCTTCTCTCTCTCATCCTCCCGCCCTCTCATCCGCCCTTCTCTCAAGGGCTCGCCCTCTCATCCTCTCTCCCTCTCATCCTCTCTCCATCTCATCCTCCCTTCATGAAATCCACCCATCCTCTCATCCTCCCTTCCTCTCATCCTCCCTTCCTCTCATCCTCCTCTCCTCTCATCCTCTCTCCCTCTCATCCGCCCTCCCTCTCATCCTCCCTTCATCTCATCCTCCTTTCCTCTCATCCTCCCTTCCTCTCATCCGCCCTTCTCTCTCTCATCCTCTCTACCTCTCATCCTCCCGCCCTCTCATCCGCCCTTCCTCTCGTCCTCCCTTCCTCTCGTCCTCCCCCCCCTTCTTCCGCCCTCCCCCTCATCCGTCCTTCCTCACATCCTCTCTTCCTCTCATCCTCCAAACCTCTCATCCGCCCTTCTCTCTCTCATCCTCCCGCCCTCTCATCCGCCCTTCTCTCATCCTCTCGCCCTCTCATCCGCCCATCCTCTCATCCTCCCTTCATCTCATCCTCCCTTCATCTCATCCACCCATCCTCTCATCCTCCCTTCCTCTCATCCTCCCTTCCTCTCATCCTCCTCTCCTCTCATCCTACCCTTCCTCACATCCTCTCTTCCTCTCATCCTCCATTCCTCTCATCCGCCCTTCTCTCTCTCATCCTCCCGCCCTCTCATCCGCCCTTCTCTCATCCTCTCGCCCTCTCATCCGCCCATCCTCTCATCCTCCCTTCATCTCATCCTCCCTTCATCTCATCCTCCCTTCATCTCATCCACCCATCCTCTCATCCTCCCTTCCTCTCATCCTCCCTTCCTCTCATCCTCCTCTCCTCTCATCCTCTCTCCCTCTCATCCGCCCTCCCTCTCATCCTCCCTTCATCTCATCCTCCTTTCCTCTCATCCTCCCTTCCTCTCATCCGCCCTTCTCTCTCTCATCCTCTCTACCTCTCATCCTCCCGCCCTCTCATCCGCCCTTCCTCTCGTCCTCCCTTCCTCTCGTCCTCCCCCCCCCTTCTTCCGCCCTCCCCCTCATCCGCCCTTCCTCTCATCCACCCATCCTCTCATCCTCCCTTCCTCTCATCCACCCATCCTCTCATCCTCCCTTCATCTTATCCTCCCTTCCTCTTATCCGCCCTTCCTCCAAACCTCCCTTCCTCTCATCCTCCTCTCCTCTCATCCACCCTTCCTCTCGTCCTCCCTTCCTCTCGTCCGCCCTTCCTCTCATCCGCCCTTCCTCTCATCCTCCCTTCCTCTCATCCGCCCTTCCTCTCATCCGCCCTTCTCTCTCTCATCCTCCCGCCCTTTCATCCGCCCTTCCGCTCGTCCTCCCTTCCTCTCGTCCTCCCTTCCCTTCTTCCGACCTCCCCCTCATCCGCCCTTCCTCTCATCCGCCCATCCTCTCATCCTCCCTTCATCTCATCCTCCTTTCCTCTCATCCTCCCTTCCTCTCATCCGCCCTTCTCTCTCTCATCCTCCCGCCCTTTCATCCGCCCTTCCTCTCGTCCTCCCTTCCTCTCGTCCTCCCTCCCCTTCTTCCGACCTCCCCCTCATCCGCCCTTCCTCTCATCCGCCCATCCTCTCATCCTCCCTTCATCTCATCCTCCTTTCCTCTCATCCTCCCTTCCTCTCATCCGCCCTTCTCTCTCTCATCCTCTCTACCTCTCATCCTCTCTCCCTCTCATCCGCCCTTCCTCTCGTCCTCCCTTCCTCTCGTCCTCCCTCCCCTTCTTCCGACCTCCCCCTCATCCGCCCTTCCTCTCATCCGCCCATCCTCTCATCCTCCCTTCATCTCATCCTCCTTTCCTCTCATCCTCCCTTCCTCTCATCCGCCCTTCTCTCTCTCATCCTCTCTACCTCTCATCCTCTCTCCCTCTCATCCGCCCTTCCTCTCGTCCTCCCTTCCTCTCGTCCTCCCTCCCCTTCTTCCGACCTCCCCCTCATCCGCCCTTCCTCTCATCCGCCCATCCTCTCATCCTCCCTTCATCTCATCCTCCTTTCCTCTCATCCTCCCTTCCTCTCATCCGCCCTTCTCTCTCTCATCCTCTCTACCTCTCATCCTCTCTCCCTCTCATCCGCCCTTCCTCTCGTCCTCCCTTCCTCTCGTCCTCCCTCCCCTTCTTCCGCCCGCCCCCTCATCCGCCCTTCCTCTCATCCAACCTTCGTCTCATCCGCCCTTCCTCTCATCCTCCTTTCCTCTCATCCGCCCTTCCTCTCATCCTCCCGCCCTCTCATCCTCCTTACTTCCCTTCCTTTCGCCCATGGCCCCATCCCTCCACCTGCTTTTCTCGCTGCGTTCACCTTAGGTCTCCCACTGCACTCCAGTCATGACAACATGCACCCCACTCTCCCTTCCACCCTACCTCCGTGCCTCCCTACCTACCTACCATCCCATTCCATTTCCATTCATCCCCCCTGCCTCCTTCCCATCCAGGCTTCGATGGCGAACCATCCAGTGTCGAGTGTGTGTAGCGCATTCAACCAGCGTCATTATACTGTCCACTGGAAACTCAGATCCCCAGTTTGCTACCTGCGTGTGGGGCTAAGCGTGCTTATGCCTGACAATAAAGTGGCTACGCATAACGATATATTATCTGTCTACATGCAAGCTGCGCCACATGTCACAGAGAGGCTAATGAGGGCAGCAAGACACGCAGGTAACCATGGGGAATATGGGTATTTGTCACTTGATACAGTGCTGTAATGTGTACTCCACGTCGTGTACAGTGTGTACTGTGCTCACACGTTGATGTGCTTGCATGGTTTTGCCACAGGTGCGAGTCCTGGGGGAGAGAGCGCTGGCCAAGTTGTGAATTTGCATCTTGAGTCCGACTCGAAGGCCTTCTGGCAGCGCATGGGGAGAGGGACCACAACGGTGGAGGATCTGTTAGCGAGGCCAGATAGATCCCTGATAGGTGTAGAGTTTAAGTTTCCAAAATGGGAGAGAGGAAAAAATGGCGAGCCTAGAAGAGTAGAAGGAAACGGATGGGGCGGGGAACGCAACCAAGCTGCAGCAACCGTCCTGCCGGGTGAAGGTAAGAACCTAGTTAGATGCTAGTGCGAAACATGCGTGCTGCGTTTAAACACCGGATCCCCAGGCGAATGAATATCGTTCCACCAAAAACTTCCCTCCCCCTCCCAGCCCTGTGGGCCTGATGCTTGTTTCCCCCGCGGCACTGCCAAGACTAAAACGATCCCGTCCCCCCTGCCACCTGCACTTCTATTCTGCCTATTATCTCTCACCAACCCTAAATCATATTTCTGTCCCTATTCGCTGAATTCTCTTCCCCGTCGCACTGCCCGGAATTCTGTCGCCCCCCGCTCTGCCCTGGATTCTTGTCCTTTCCACCCTCCCCCGACCTGCCTTGAATCCCTTCCCACTCGACTCTTGAGGGATTCAGTTCCCTCTCAACCATCCTGAATTCTGCACGCAAGGTGAGGAGAGGGGAGCACGCAAGGTGAGGAGAGGGGAGCACGCAAGGTGAGGAGACTCGAGCACGCAAGGTGAGGAGAGGGAGCACGCAAGGTGAGGAGAGGGGAGCACGCAAGGTGAGGAGAGGGGAGCACGCAAGGTGAGGAGAGGGAGCACGCAAGGTGAGGAGAGGGAGAACGCAAGGTGTGGAGAGGGGAGCACGCAAGGTGAGGAGAGGGGAGCACGCAAGGTGAGGAGAGGGAGCACGCAAGGTGAGGAGAGGGGAGCACGCAAGGTGAGGAGAGGGGAGCACGCAAGGTGAGGAGAGGGGAGCACGCAAGGTGAGGAGAGGGGAGCACGCAAGGTGAGGAGAGGGGAGCACGCAAGGTGAGGAGAGGGGAGCACGCAAGGTGAGGAGAGGGGAGCACGCAAGGTGAGGAGAGGGAGCACGCAAGGTGAGGAGAGGGGAGCACGCAAGGTGAGGAGAGGGGAGCACGCAAGGTGAGGAGAGGGGAGCACGCAAGGTGAGGAGAGGGGAGCACGCAAGGTGAGGAGAGGGGTGCACGCAAGGTGAGGAGAGGGAGCACGCAAGGTGAGGAGAGGGGAGCACGCAAGGTGAGGAGAGGGGAGCACGCAAGGTGAGGAGAGGGGAGCACGCAAGGTGAGGTGAGGGAGCACGCAAGGTGAGGAGAGGGGAGCACGCAAGGTGAGGAGAGGGAGAACGCAAGGTGAGGAGAGGGAGCACGCAAGGTGAGGAGAGGGGAGCACGCAAGGTGAGGAGAAGGGAGCACGCAAGGTGAGGAGAGGGGAGCACGCAAGGTGAGGAGAGGGGAGCACGCAAGGTGAGGAGAGGGGAGCACGCAAGGTGAGGAGAGGGGAGCACGCAAGGTGAGGAGAGGGAGCACGCAAGGTGAGGAGAGGGGAGCACGCAAGGTGAGGAGAGGGGAGCACGCAGGGAGAGGGAGCACGCAAGGTGAGGAGAGGGAGCACGCAAAGTGAGGAGAGGGGAGCACGCAAGGTGAGGAGAGGGGAGCACGCAAGGTGAGGAGAGGGAGCACGCAAGGTGAGGAGAGGGGAGCACGCAAGGTGAGGAGAGGGGAGCCCACGCAGGGTGAGGAGAGGGGAGCACGCAAGGTGAGGAGAGGGAGCACGCAAGGTGAGGAGAGGGGAGCACGCAAGGTGAGGAGAGGGGAGCACGCAAGGTGAGGAGAGGGGAGCACGCAAGGTGAGGAGACTCGAGCACGCAAGGTGAGGAGAGGGAGCACGCAAGGTGAGGAGAGGGGAGCACGCAAGGTGAGGAGAGGGGAGCACGCAAGGTGAGGAGAGGGAGCACGCAAGGTGAGGAGAGGGAGAACGCAAGGTGCGGAGAGGGGAGCACGCAAGGTGAGGAGAGGGGAGCACGCAAGGTGAGGAGAGGGAGCACGCAAGGTGAGGAGAGGGGAGCACGCAAGGTGAGGAGAGGGGAGCACGCTGTCAGAATATGTTGTTTGTCTAGCCTGCAGTGGGGTACTCTATAGTGAGTACAGCCCCTTAGGGTTTGCTATTTGTATCCTGCTGCTTGCTAGTTCAATCATTCCTTCTCAATTCTGTTCCTGCACACAATCCTAGCTCGTACTTGGCTCCTCGTTACTAGTCCTACTGTGGCCTAGGCTACTAAGCCTAGGCCGTACTCCTACTACTTCTGACATGGTATCAGAGGGCGGCATGTCTGCCGCCTTCCTGTGTATGGGCCCACCACCCGCTTCCGCTGCCGTACTGTCCGCCGCGCGCCCCGTGGTGCGCGGCGGCGAAACCCTAATTTCTGCCCGCCGCGCGCTCGGGGCGCCTGGCGGTTTTCCCTTCCGTGGCGCCCGTCGTGGTGCCCTTGGGGGGGCCTCCGCGGTCCCCTCCCGTCGAAGCGCCCGTCGAGGCGCTCTCGGGGACCCGCGCGGCCCCCCCCCCCCGTCGCCCGTCGAGGCGACCTCGGGGACCCGCGCGGCCTCCCCTCCCGTCGCCCGTCGAGGCGACCTTGGGGGCCCGCGCGGCCTCCCCACCAGTCGCCCGTCGAGGCGACTTCGGGGGGCCCGCGCGGCGCCCTCCCCGTCGCCCGTCGAGGTGGCTCTGGGGGCCCGTCGCGGCGCCCTCCCTGGTGCCCGTCGCGGCGCCCCGGGGGGGGCCGCGCGGCTCCCTTCTCGTCGCCCCTCGGGGCGCCCTGGGGGCCGTGCGTTTCCCCCCCCCGCAGCCGCCCCTGGAGCCGCCCGCCACTGCAGCAGCAGCCCCTGGAGCCGCCCGCACCTGCAGCAGCCACCCCTGGAGCCGCCCGCCAGTGCAGCAGCCGCCCCTAGAGCAGCCCGCACCTGCAGCAGCCGCTCCTGGAGCAGCCCACACTTGCAGCAGCCGCCCCTGGAGCAGCCCGCACCTGCAGCAGCCGCCCCTGGAGCAGCCCGCACCTGCAGCTGCCGCCCCTGCAGAAGCCCGTCCCCCCCCCCCCCCCCCCCCCCCCCCCCCCCCCCCCCCGTGCTGCCCATTGCTCCCATTCCACCGTGCGTTCCGCGGTGGTTGGGGTGTGGGGTGGCGAGCATGGGGGTGAGAGGTGTGGGTTCTCCCCTCCTCCTTTTTCGTCTCCCACTGCTGCAGCTGCCGCTGAGGGGGGTGGAGGTGTGGGAGTCGTGGGGAGTGGCACTAGGGGGGTGATGTGGGAGTGGAGCTAGGGGTGAAGCAGGGGGTGTGTGAGAGGGGTGTGGGACTGTTGGGGGAGGTTGAGTGGAGGCTGCTGTCTTGTCGTCCGCAGCACCTGTAGTCCGGGGCGCACTGTCCTGGTAGCTCAGAGAGCCTGCTGCACCTGTTGCCCGTGGGTCCGTTGCTCCTGCCGCTCGTCGCAGCCGCAGAGCCTGTTACTCCTGTATTCCGGGACGCACTGTCTCGGTAGCCACTGAGAGCCTGCTGCACCAGTCGCCCGTGGGTCCGTTGCTTCTGCCGCTCGTCGTAGCCGCAGAGCCAGTTACTCCAGTATTCCGGGGCGCTCTGTCTCGGTAGCCACTGTGTCAGCCGCCACTGTGTCAGCCGCTTCTGTTGCCCGTGTGTCTGCAGCTTCAGTCGTCACCTCCCATCTTCTCTCCTTTCATAGTCCCTCCTCCTCCTCACTTGCCCTCTGTGATAGCCTCTAGCTTTGCTGATAATTATGAACTATTGCTATGACTGCTCATTGTGCTGACTACACCCCACTTTGGCTATGGGGATGTGTCAGAATATGTTGTTTGTGTAGCCTGCAGTGGGGTACTCTATAGTGAGTACAGCCCCTTAGGGTTTGCTATTTGTATCCTGCTGCTTGCTAGTTCAATCATTCCTTCTCAATTCTGTTCCTGCACACAATCCTAGCTCGTACTTGGCTCCTCGTTACTAGTCCTACTGTGGCCTAGGCTACTAAGCCTAGGCCGTACTCCTACTACTTCTGACACACGCAAGGTGAGGAGAGGGGAGCACGCAAGGTGAGGAGAGGGGAGCACGCAAGGTGAGGAGAGGGGAGCACGCAAGGTGAGGAGAGGGGAGCACGCAAGGTGAGGAGAGGGGAGCACACAAGGTGAGGAGAGGGAGCACGCAAAGTGAGGAGAGGGGAGCACGCAAGGTGAGGAGAGGGGAGCACGCAAGGTGAGGAGAGGGGAGCACGCAAGGTGAGGAGAGGGAGCACGCAAGGTGAGGAGAGGGGAGCACGCAAGGTGAGGAGAGGGGAGCACGCAAGGTGAGGAGAGGGAGCACGCAAGGTGAGGAGAGGGGAGCACGCAAGGTGAGGAGAGGGGAGCACGCAAGGTGAGGAGAGGGGAGCACGCAAGGTGAGGAGAGGGGAGCACGCAAGGTGAGGAGAGGGAGCACGCAAGGTGAGGAGAGGGAGCACGCAAGGTGAGGAGAGGGGAGCACGCAAGGTGAGGAGAGGGAGCACGCAAGGTGAGGAGAGGGGAGCACGCAAGGTGAGGAGAGGGGAGCCCACGCAGGGTGAGGAGAGAGGGGCACGCGCAAGGTTGGCGATCGAAGAGCATTGGAGGTGAGGAGAGAGGGGCACGCGCGGGGAGGCGAGAGGAGCACGCAGGGTGAGGAGTGAGGAGCACGCGCGGGGAGGCGTGGGAGGCATGCAAGGTGAAGAGAGAGGAGAACGAGTAGGTGAGGAGAGAGGAGCACGCGCGGGGAGGCTTGAGAGGCGCGCGAGGGGAGGCGAGAGGAGAACGAGTAGGTGAGGAGAGAGGAGCACGCGCGGGGGGGCTTGAGGGGCGCGCGAGGGGAGGCAAGAGGAGAACGAGTAGGTGAGAAGAGAGGAGCACGCGCGGGGAGGCGAGAGGGGCGCGCGAGGGATGGCGGGAGGAGGCTGCGCGGGGAGGCGAGAGGCGGCCGCGCGGGGAGGCAAGAGATTCGCGAGCATTGAAGGCGAGAGGAGCACGCGAGGGGAGGCGAGAGGAGCACGCGCGGGATGGTGAGAGGAGGCCGAGCGGGGCGGTAAGAGGAGCGCGCGCTGGGATGCGATGGGATACCGCGCGGAAGGCGAGAAGAGCGCGCGCGGGGGTGGCGAGAGGTTCCCGCGCGGGCTTACCGGAACGGTGCGCGCGCAGGGAGGAGAAACGTGGGCTTGAGAAACGGGCTTCCCGCGCGTGGAATCGTGGGCCTGACTGTCAGGATAGCGGGGCGTTGTGGGGACACGACGACGCTGAAAGTGGGTGGTCGCGGAGTGGTGCACGAAGCGCCGCAATGGGGCACGACGACGAGGAAGCGATGGGAGGGGATAGGGGTAAGGACGATGGGAGGGCAATGGCGACGGGGACCACGGGGGAAACGAGGGTGACGGTGCGTCAAGGGGGAGGCCGATGTGAGGGGATTTCCTCCCTACGCCTCTTGATCCTGTTTAGCGCGACGTCTCGTAATATGGGATTCGAGCATTTTACGCTTGTGACGAGCGCATTCCTAAATTTCGTGTTGCATCGGGGTTGAAGGTGGGAATGTGCTAGGGGCAAAAGCTTAGAGTCTCGCTTAGTAGCCGCACAGGCATTCCTGAATTACCATTTCTAGGCAAACTGTGCACAGGCAGTTCCCTTCTTCCTTCAGCAGGGGTGGTTGGAACTCTCGCCAAGTTGAAGCGTTCTGCTCTACGACGCGGTCTTTGTGGGGTGCGACGTTTTCTGGTAACCCCACTGGCTCGGGAGGTGTTCATTGGGCTCGGAAGGCAAACTGTGCACAGTTTGCCCTTTTTGATTTGTAATTCAGGTCTTGGGCTTTAACAGAGCTCACTTGAAAAAAAAATCTGAATTCTCAGAGTCTTTTCATGCAAATCAGACAAATTTCTCTGACTTCTGGGGGCCTGATATATGCCTATAGCATTATTTTATATTACCGTATTACCCCGGATATAAGCGCACCTGCGCTTATAATAAAACAGTGGTTTTTTGGGGGGTGCGCTTATAATTGAGTAAAAATTATAAGCGCATGCGCTTATAATATAACAAATACAAATATATATTTCAATGCACCAAATTGTACATCTCATCCTTCAGTGTTCAATCGAATCGAAATTGTAGAAAGTCACATGTCAAAATCGCGCGCGGGCGATTCTTCGCGAGCGCCCAGAGGCAAAATACAGTGTAACACCTCACTTTGAGGGCGTGCCAGCTCGTGCTGACTGGACGCGCAGGATGTGAGAGGTCTTCGAAAGTCAATGTAAGCGAAAATGGGTTGTGGCCTCGCTGCAAAACTGAGATTCGTTACCGTTTTAATGAAGAATTATAAATAAAATTACACATGCGCTTATAATATATCAGGGTTTTATAAGGGGTGCGCTTATAATTGAGGATCGGCCATAAGCGCATTGCTCCAGATACAAGCGCATGCGCTTTTAATAGGCCTGCGCTTATATCCGGGGCCATACGGTATATATAAACAGATTTTTGCGTAGTCTAATGACGTTATTACTGTTACACCTATTCGTGCTGCACCCTTTCCATGCTTGTATTTCTTCCCCCCTCTCATTTGAAATATCCATCTTTGCACTCGTAACTTCCCCGAGCTCCAAAACCTCGTAGACCTACGTTGACACAGTATTCAAAGGGCCTTCTCTCTCTCTCTCTTGACTGGGACCAGATCTTTGCTAGCATGTATGCTATGTATGCTGCTGGTGCTAGTGCTAAGGGTGACTGTTATTCTTGTGTGCCTAAATCTGGTAGTATAAAGGCTGTTTGTGTAGATGCTTGTGAGACAGCTAGCACAAGTGCAAATCCTACAGAGGCATTGCTCACCTTCATGCTGGACTGTGGCGCGTCTCGGTGCTTCTTCCGCGACTGCACCACAATCAAAACGCTCCAGCACCTCCCCGGTCACCCTGGCCGACCCCTCCTCTGGCTCAGTCGTTGCACGCGGCTCTACTGTTCTCCCGTGTCGGGCAGCCTCATCTGGCTGCCTCGCAGGTCTCTGCCTCCCCTCATTCGCTACGAACTTGGTGAGTAACGCTCACCTCCAGTATATGATGGTCACCACCATCACTTCTGGGGGCGAGTGCGTGACGATCTATATGGACACGGTGACTGGAGACCACCTTGCTACGTTCACACGTAGGCCTGGGTCTGGACTGTACGCACTGCATAATGAGTCTATTCAGGTGGCTGCGTCAAGTTAGGTAGCTGCGTCTTGCTCGTATCGGTTACTCACGCACCCGTCCCTCTTCTGGCACCACAGTCTTGGTCACCCCTCCCTGCAGCGCCTACGTTGCATGCACTCGCGTCTCCTTATCTCTAGCCTCCCGCGGTCCCTGCCCCCGCTCTTGCTGTCGCTTACGCCGCCGTGCGCTCCCTTCGTCAAGGGGCGGTAGTGCTTGCTCCTCACTCCTCCTCTTTCCCTCCGACCACTGCCCCTCCGCAGACACTGTACATGGATGTATGGGGCCCCAACCCCGTCTCTGGGTCACACTGGGGGCACGTTGACGACTTCACGCACTACACCACAATGTTTCCCAAGCATAAAGGAGACGTTTGGGTTGTTTTGATTCGTTGGATCCGCGCTGTTCGTGGCTAGCTCAGCGCACAGTTCCGCCAGGACCTCCCGGTGCTCCGTCTGCACTCTGACCGTGGTGGCGACTTTGCTTCCGGTCTCCTTGAGGACTTTTGTCATGAGGAGGACATCACCCAGTCGTTCACGTTTCAGGCCTCTCCACAACAGAATGGGATCGTCGAGCGTCGCATTGGCTTGATCATAGAGGTTGCTCGCACCTCCACGATCCATGCGGCTGCTCCCCATTTTCTGTGGCCGTTTGCGGTCCGATGCGCTGTGCATCAGCTTAAACTCTAGCCCTGAACCAGACACCTCGCCTACCCTGCTTTGGATGGGGGAGGTTGGCGATGCATTGCCGTTTCAGGTCTGGAGATTGCTTGCCCTTGTCCGCGATCCTACCACGGGCAGGCTCTCTCCTCGCACTCTTTAATGCGTCTTCCATGGCTTTCCTCTGACACCCTGCACTTGCAGCTTTACCACCCAGCCACGCGTCGCATCCTATCCTCTTGCGACGTCACCTTTGACGAGTCGGTTTGCTACTACCGTCTCTTCCCCCACCGCAGTTCTTCCCCCCCACCCCCCCCCCCCCCCCCCCTCCCTCCCCTCTTCCTGGTTCCATGTTACCCCCCGGTAGGCCCCCTCGCGCCCTACTCCCTCAGGTGTGTCTCATGTCACACCATCCCCCTTGGTTGAGCCTTTGGAGGTCTTCTTAGACCCCTCTGGCCCAGTTGAGGGAGTGACCCTGCTGCTGATGATACAACGGCCTCTCGCCGCTCACCGCGCTTGGAGACTCCTCTTAGTTTTCCGCCTCAGCCGTCTTCACCGCCTATGCAGCCTGTCGCTGTGGACTCCGGTGCTTTTGGGAGTGGTGATGCTGGAGGTGCGGGTCCTGGGGGTGGTGAGTCTGGAGGTGTGGGCTATGGGGGTGCTGGTTCTAGGGTTCGTGACTCTGAGGATGCTGACCCTGAGGGTGCTGTCTCAGGGGGCGCTGAGCATCCTAGTGGCGGTGGAGTCGAAGGTACGACAGTTGGAGGCTCTGTGGGTGCGTTGCACCCTCTTCCGCGACGACCCTGGTTTTGGGAGCAACACCAGTCAACGCTGCCACTTCCGGGGTCCGTTGCTGGAGGTTCTGGGGGTGATGGAGCTGTAAGTACAAGAGCTAGGGATGCTGGAGGTACTCGAGCTAGAGTTGCTGGAGATGCTGGAGGTTCTAGTGCTGGAGGTACTGGAGCTGGAGGTGCTGGAGGTTCTGGTGCTGGAGGTGCTGGAGTTGGAGGAGCTGGAGGTTCTGGTGCTCTAGATACTGGAGCTAGAGGAGCTGGAGGTTTTGGTGACTTGGAGGTTTTAGATATGGAGGTTTCGGCGCTGGAGGTGCAACCACTGAGGGTGTTGGTCGTGCTGGATCTAGAGGTGTTCCTGGTACTATGGAGGAGCTAGTTGGGGGTGCTGCGCGGCTGCTGCACCGGTGACCGTTGTTTTGGGAGCTGCCACAGTCATCGCTTCCATCAACTGGCTCAGTATTTCACCAGCTTTGACATCTTATGTCTGCCTCTACAGAGCCGTCTACCGCTGGTACTACTCCTCCTCTTCTGTGTCCACTTACTGACCTGTCTCAGACTCAGTTATCTGTTGTGCGTACTCCTCGTGCTCGCCGTGTTCGACCTCCACCTGTCCCCGGCACTCACAGCATGGCACTTGGTCCTTCCTTTGTTCCACATTGTGTTGCACTGCCGTTACCTCCCTCGTCCTCCCTTCCTGACGTTCCTGGCCATGTATTTGACTTTGCTTGCGCTGCTAGTCCCAGTGTAACCTATTGTCTCGCCACACTTATGACGAACCCTATTTTTTCGTCTGCTGCGACTGCATGAGTCCATGAGCTTGTTGACTTCGCCACTACCTGCCACCTTGACTACCTCGCAAGTCTCGTTTCTAGATGTGCCTGTCCTCCGTCCAACAGAGGTGAGATTGCCCTTGGTTGTGACGTCCTTGAGGACACACAATTTGAGCTGGAGTGCCTCGCGGCTGCTATACTTCATCTCGCTGCCATGCTGCTTGCCTCTGAGGGAGACCTGGATGCACTGGACATCCCGACCTCACGCTCTTACGCAGAAGCGATCACGGGTCAGTACTCCTCTCATTGGCAAATAGCCATGGACGCATAGATGGCATCCTGGAACTCCACAACCACCTACGTCGACGCAGTTCCCCCTCCTGTGGCGAACATAGTCGATGGCATGTGGAATTTCAGGGTGAAGCGGCCGCCAGGTTCCCCCCCTGTCCTCAAGGCATATTACGTTGCACGAGGCTTCAATCGTCAAGGGACTATTCTTTGGGTGTTACTGCACATTGTAGCACAACGTCACTACCAGCTGCACTCAATCAGCTTCTCCA